AACTCACGCTTGCAGGACTTCTCGCAGGTGTCTCCCTTCCTATTGAATAGCCTGCCTACTGCCATCAGACTCTCCCCTAGTCTTCAATCATTTAAGAAGTGCCTTAAAACCCATCTCTTTAGTAAAGCTTATGACTTCCCAGACTAACCTCTACCTCACATACCTGTCTCTTGCTCTCTTCTAAAGGGCAGCACTCTATTCTCTCCTCCAGCTCTGCTTCACTCTCACCTTTTTTGATTGCTATTTCCTGTCCTAATGTGTTTTATACCCCACCTCCTACAACCAGGGCCAGATTAAGAGCCCAGTGGGCCTGGTGCTGACAATTATGACGGGCCTAATTACAGAATCATATCGACCAAAAACAGTAAAACACTCCCAAGCATCATGTATCTGATGGAGATGGTGCTGGAGAGAAAGAAAACAGCAGCTATAAGAAAACACATACCCTAGGCTAATCTCTCACTAATTTATGTTTTCATCTTTCAAGTAAATCCATAACCCCTAACAGCAGTGTCCAGTCAAGTAGGAAGTCAATGGGCATGGTAAAAGGGTGTGCCACTGACACAAATCACATAACCTGCCAAAAGGGGCGAACATGCCCAAAAAGAGGACATGTCTGCTCAAAGAATTAGAAGACCAGCCTGGCATGTCAGGCTGCCTGCCAATCATGCAGCTGGCCAACTAAGGGCATACTATGCAGACAGCACCCTGAGCTTGGCATAAATGCATCTAATGATGCGCTCACTCAACGCTTTCTAAGGACTGTCCCCTAGCACTCGCTGGTCCACTTGTCTCCTTACCTTCTTACTAGCAGGCAGATGCTCCTGGTATATGGTCCGGGACAGAGAAAAGCTGTATGTAGTGAGTGTAGAAGAAAGGGAACATGCCACCGTGTTAGAGAGACCAAAGTCAGCATTACCACAAGCATGAATTCATGACCCTATAGTGTTAACACCACCATCTAGCCCCCCTGGGCCCCTCATGCCTCCATAAATATAGCAAAATCCTACTATATTCAAGCCTGAAGCTGTAACTCTGCATGCTGTTAGACTCATAAAAACAAGCAGTCTGCTGACATCATTAGAAGTGGTGGCCTGATCCAATCACAGTGCTTCCCCATAGGATTGGCTGAGACTGACAAAGAGGCAGATCAGGGTCAGAGCCAGCATGATTCAAACACAGCCCTGGCCAATCAGCATCTCCTTATATAGATGAATTTAATTAATGAATCTCTATGAGGAAAGTTCAGTGTCTGCATGCAGATGGAGGAGACACTGAATGTTTGGATGCATTTTAGGCAGCCATGACCCAGGAAGGATCTATAACAGTCATCTAAGGAGTGGCCAGTGAAGTTATCACTAGGATGTAATGTAAACACAGCATTTTCTCTGAAAAGACCATGCTTACAGCAAACAGCCTGATGGTAATGATTCTACTCACCAGAACAAATTCAATAAGCTGTAGTTGTTCTGCTGACTATAGTGTCCCTTTAACTATATTCATTGTCAGCTAGTCCACACAAGTTTACATCCCTCTTAAGTTTCCATACTTAAGTAAGAGTATGTGAAAAGTAGTTAGGGTTGCCACCTTTCTTGGAAAAACATACCGGCCTTACTAATTTATGTGTGGGTGACATCACATGATGTAAATCACAAGGAGTGACATAAGAGAAAATGCTGTAAAATCACCAAAAAACTATTTAGTTTAAATCTGCTGTAAAGATGGATTCCTCCCAGTGCCCCCATATGTCGATTACTCCAGGTCTCAGTGTTCCTATGTATCAGTGTCTCAGTGCCCCATGTCTCCCAGTGTCCCTAAGTGTCGTGTCCCCAGGCCTCCCAGTGATCCTATGTATCAGTGTCTCAATGCCCTATGTCTCCCTGTGTACCCATGTATCCCAGAGTCCCCATGTCACTAGGACACTAGGAAGACGGGGAGACCTGGGGACACGGGGAGACCTAGAGACACGGAGACACCAGTGACACTGGGAGACTAGGGGACTCTGGCTGGGACACATGGGGACAATGGGAAAATAGGGGACACTTGAAGACATTAGGACACAGACACCAGGGACAAAGATACTAGAGACACTGGCTGGGGGACATGGGGACATTGAGACATGGGGGCACTGGGAGACATGAGGACACTGAGACACCAGGGCCACAGACACTAGGGACACTAGCTTGGTGACATTGTGACACTTGAGGCACTGAGAGACATGGAGGCACTAGGAGACATGGGGACAGTGAGACACTGGCAGACTGGGGGCACTGGGAGACTAGGGGTCACTGGAAGACTAGGGGTCACTGGGAGACTAGAGGCACTGAGACACCAGGGACACTGGCTGGGAGACATGGGGACACTGTGTCCCCATGTGTCTGTGTCATAATGTCTCCCAATGTCCCTTAGTGTCTCAGTGTCTGCCATAATGTCTCCCAATGTCCCTTAGTGTCTCAGTGTATGTCTCCCTGCTGCCTTTCCCCCCATCCCTTACTTCCCTGAGCTGTAGACTGTCTCTGCAGGGTGGGAGTTGCTGTCTGGACTCTCTGTAGCTGCACCCCTGCAGATCAGTGAGTATAGAGAGGCAGAGAGGGATATGCTGGAACTTCCTATCCCTGCCTGTCTCCACATGCAGCGACCCCTACTGGCCAGTGCTGGTATTGCATAGTAATTTCCATTTATACTGAGAAAAATGCCAGCATTTATATTGCCAGTATCACTGCAATATTGGCACCAGCCAGGCAGCCTCAAATACCGGCTGTGCCAATAAAATAAAAGCCAGGTGGAATCCCTAAGAGTAGTGTGTGAAAAAAAAAAAATGTAAAAAAAAAATGTAAAAAAAAATTTTTTTTTTTTTTTTTTAAATCAATGGGCCTATTCCATGGGCCTGGGCCTGGAGCTGCAGCTCCATCAGCCCCTATGTTAATCCGGCCCTGCTTATTACTGCTTACTGAGTACTTATTACTTAGTACATCATTACTGCTTACTGGGTACTTATTACTTAGGGTGTCATTACTGCTTACTGAGTACTTATTACTTAGTACGTCATTACTGCTTACTGAGTACTTATTACTTAGTACGTCATTACTGCTTACTGAGTACTTTTTACTTAGTACGTCATTACTGCTTACAGAGTACTTATTACAGCTTATTGAGTACTTATTACTGCTTACTGAGTACTTATTATTTAGTACATCATTACTGCTTATTGAGTACATATTACTGCTTACTGAGTACTTATTATTTAGTACATCATTACTGCTTACTGAGTACTTATTACTTAGTACGTCATTACTGCTTACTGAGTACTTATTACTTAGTACGTCATTACTGCTTACAGAGTACTTATTACTGCTTATTGAGTACTTATTACTGCTTACTGAGTACTTATTATTTAGTACATCATTACTGCTTACTGAGTACTTATTACTGCTTACTGAGTACTTATTACTTAGTACATCATTACTGCTTACTGAGTACTTATTACTTAGTATGTCATTACTGCTTACTGAATACTTATCACTGCTGAGTACTTATTACTGCTTACAGCATACTTATTACTGCTTACTGAGTACATATTACTGCTTACTGAGTACTTATTACTTAGTACATCATTACTGCTTACTGAGTACTTATTACTGCTTACTGAGTACTTATTACTTAGTATGTCATTACTGCTTACTGAATACTTATCACTGCTGAGTACTTATTACTGCTTACAGAATACTTATTACTGCTTATTGAATATGTATTACTTAGTACGTCATTACTGCTTACTGAGTACTTATTACTGCTTACTGAGTACTTATTACTTAGTACGTCATTACTGCTTACTGAGTACTTATTACAGCTTACTGAGTACTTATTACTTAGTACGTCATTACTGCTTACTGAGTACTTATTACTGCTTACTGAGTACTTATTACTTAGTACGTCATTACAGCTTTCTAAGTACTTATTACAGCTTACTGAGTACTTATTATAGCTTACTGAATATTTATGATTGCTTACTGAGTACTTATTACTTAGTACGTCATTACAGCTTACTGAGTACTTATTACTGCTTACTGAGTACTTATTGCTGCTTGCTGAATACTTATTACTGCTACTGAGTACTTATTACTGCTTACTGAGTACTTATTACTGCTTGCTGAATACTTATTACTGCTACTGAGTACTTATTACTGCTTACTGAGTACTTGTGACTGCTTGCTGAATACTTATTACTGCATACTGAGTAGTTATGACTGCTTACTGAGTTCTTATTACAGCTTACTGAGTACTTATTACTGCTTACTAAGCAATAATGACTGCTGACTGAGTATGTCATTACTTCATTACTGCTCACAATGCCTCTGTTTTTCGTGTGAGCAGTTCACATTACAAATAAAATGTTAGCAGTTTTTATTTTGGACACTGCTGGGACATCCCAATAGGAAACTAGAGGACAGAGTCCCCCGTCCAGTCTTGGTGTGCCCGGCTGATTAGGACAGCAGTTCTCGGTGTCTCTCTGTATATATATATAATATTTATAGTGTGAGAATCTTGATAAAGTTGATACATAGTGTAAGAATCTTGATAAGATAATGAAAATGACTCTACAGTAGGTACTGTGGGCTTAGGTAGTGCAAGATAAAACTGTCCACTTACATTATATAACTAGTTATATTTTTATTTTACTATATGAGAGAGAGGGTACCTTGTAGAGAAATCAGATTTGCAATTTATACGTTAATATATTTTGTTGACTAAGTTGATAAATAAAGATTTTTTTTAATATTAAAAAGAAACCAGAAGTATCTGTAATTACCTAATACGTACATACTTACCAAATAAATTCAATTCAGCAACATGATTCAAGCACACACAATATTTACATGCACTTGACTTTAGCACATTGATTTATTGCAATCAGATTTTTGTAACTTTTACTGGTGATGAATTGTGGGAGGCAAGCTACGAGTCTAGATAGAACATCTGACGGGGATATTTACTAAAGTGAGATATTTTGGAATCCAAAGTGAATTTAAAATTGTAGATCGAAATAGCCGAAAACTAGGACACAGACATCTATTATATAGATTACTTTTTACTGATACTGAAATAAATTTAATTTGCACATTTTTCTTTCCTTTATAAATTCATCCTTTAATAGAAGTATCGGGGATTGGCCAAGACTTCTGAAAATTGATTTTAACATCCCTGCGATACTTTATCAAGCATAAAATATAGATGAGATAAAAACAAAGTAAACAAAATGCTCCATCGTCCATCCATTGTTTCCTCTAAAAAAAACTAAACTGAACATTTTTGTCTTTGTAAAAAAATATAATAATTGACCGATTCCAGTTTAAAAAAAACCAAAAAACTACACCATGGTATATGTGTTCATCAACTTCAAAACATGCAATTTCGTGTTATATTAAGCATATGAAATATCTGATATTATCTGCCTCCATTCATGCATCTCTATTATAAATATACCATAATAATATAAAGTACATTATAAAATACATGCTTTATATCTCCCAATGACAGTTCTTATTAATACCAATCTGGAGCTCGTTACGTGATAATTAAGTACAGTTTCTCATTTCCCGGAAGGTGATTTAATTAATAGATGTACCATTTTAACTTTTTCTTCACATTTAATTAAAATGGTATTTAAAATGCTAAAAGTCAGTTGTGTTAACACATGCCTCCCACAGAAAGCAAATTGTGTGGTCTGTGGTATAGTTGTGTTTTTGTAAATTCAGTGTTTTTTTTTTTAAATGTGCTGTTTAATCAGAGAAAAAGTCAAAGGGACTATTTGACAAAGGTTTGAAATCTTGGTCATTAGCTTTTAAATTGTACTTTTTTTTGTACTTCAACAGCAAAATCTGTAGGTAACATTTGTGTATTTTGAGACACTACATTCTTAAAGGAACATATTCAAATATTATTGAAAATACTTCCTCCTTTATCAAATTTCATTATTGCATTTCAACAGCTGGCTGGCTTCACTTTTTATATATAATAAACTATATTTATTACATTTATTTAACTTGCAATTCCACATACGGCCACAAGGGGCAGGAACACCTAGCCGGACTTGGGGCAGTTTTCCTTATGTTGCATTATGAACACATTAACACAATATCATAATTTAACTAATTTTAAAGGACAAATTACTGTTATAATTGTTTGCATTCTAATGTTTGTCATCTTGGCAGGCCAATTGATTATCCTTAATGTTTGTAGCCTATAGTTTTAGTATTCATTTTGATACTTTTTCTATTTTGTTTTACTGTGACGTAAATTACTGTTTTTTAAACAGCACAAAATATAATATCTAAATATCCCAATTTCTATACATTGTACTTGCCTGCCGGCTGGTTCAGTTATTGAAAAGGGATCATTTATATGTGGTGTAATTAAGCAACTGAGTGAACTACTATGTTGAACAAAAAAAATGATTGTACTGCGCTACTTCACAGGAAGGCGCTGTTGTTATGCTGTTCAAGATCTGTCGACAAGACTGTTACAAGGGCCTGTATCCATCTGCCCTCAGGACCCTGGCCTCTGTGTGCTGCGTGGAGGAGGGGATTTACCAACTGGAAAAGGTATTGGGGGAACAGTTACATCATTGGTTTAAATGAAGGATGCAATTACTGGGTCTCCAGAATGATGCCTCTACAAGCAGGAAGTGAAAATGAGCAATGGGCTATGAGCAAGTTTGATTTTCTCAAAAAATTTTTATTATTTGTCATTACCTGAAATTGCTTCAGATTTTGTATAACTCCCCAGGCATTACCTCTTTATGACTGAACACACATTATGAGATCTGTCTCACCCACCAAACAATCACTGTATTAGTCTGAACTCACAAATCCCTTTATCTAGAGCTTAAATCTAGGGTCTCGTAAAGCGACACGGAATTCTGACTGATTAGTGATATTAGTCACTAGTGTTATTAGGTAAACATCTTATTGTTCCTACAGAAATTAGTTGATACAATCTCCCTATGACATTGAATAGTATGGAACGGAGAGCCTGGTATTTAGAGATTTCTACCATGTCTCCTCACTCCCCTTTAGCGTACATATTAATATGCATTATGCTGTTTATGTGACCATGCAGTGTCCTATCCTTGGATACACCCCAGGATTTTTAGTAATTTGGGGTTCATAAAATCTGCACAAATGTGAGAGCTATCAGAAGATTTGTTGTAACAGCCTCGATGACAGTAGCTAGGCACATATTCTGACCTTGGATGAAATTAGCTTCATGCTTTAAACAGTTATGTTGCCATTGTAATCTTTTATCATAACAATGCATTAAGGATTTAAAGTGCATAATTCTGTTACTTAATGTTCTACAAAACACATGGCTTTAAAATAAGGAAGTCTAAGCTCAAGGCGAGGAATAAAATGGACATCCACAGAGACATCCATTAACACCTCTTTCAGGTTCTAAAAGCTGTTAAAGGTCAAGAGCATCATTATAACTTCGCCTCAAACATGTAAATAAAATCTGTATATTTCATTTTGTGAGGAACACAAACCAGTGTCACCCACCAGCTGCATTAATCCCCATGTACTCACCAACCAAGCAAGACAAAACATTGAATTTAACTTTCCACATTAAACTAACAAGATGAATCCAGACACATTTATAGATTTGGAAAACTCATCAAATAAGACTCACAGCCATATGAACTCAGGAGGAACCTTAATTCCTTTGACCTCCAGCAGCTGTCAGCTGATATTGATTCACTACTGCTATCCATTGCCTCCCTCTCCTGTCCCTCACTGGCCATCTCCACATATAACACTACCCTCACCTCAGCCTTGAACGCTACAGCCCCGCTCCAAACATGTATCTCGAGGAGGACACACCCCCAACCATGGCATACTAAATCAACACGCTACCTGCATTGATACTCCCATTGTGCTGAACGCTCCTGGAGGAAGTCTCATACCCATCTCCATTATAGATTCATATTGTGTTCATACAGCACAGCCCTTGCCTTCGCCAAACAGTCATACTTTTCCTCTCATTAGTTCATGCTCCCGCAATCCCTGGCATCTCTTTGACACCTTTAACTTTCTTCTTTGCCCTGCTGTGACCACCCCCCAAACTAACCTTACAGCCGATAACTTTGCATGCTACTTTACCGACAAGATTGAACAGCTAAGGAAAGAATTCTCTCCACCTTGCCGTTCTCTTTCTTAACCACACGTAGAGCATGCCTTTCCTACCCTTCAGACTTTCTCTTCAGCTACTGAACAAGAGGTGGCTGCACTTCTCCTTTCCTCTTGCCCCACCTCTTGCCCGCTCGATCCTTTCCCATCTCATCTTATCAGATCTCTCTCCCCTTGGCTTGTGCCTTCCTTAACAAACATCTTCAACTGCTCTCTCTCGTCTGGCGTTGTCCCTGCTGACCTTAAACATGCCATTGTAGTACCCATCCTGAAAAAAACATCTCTTGACCCTTCCTTCCTCTTTAACTATAGTCCGATATCCCTGCTCCATTTTTCCTCAAAGCTTCTGGAAAGACTTGTCTTTACCCGTATGTCTCACTTTCTCAATTCCAACTCTCTCCTTGTCCCTCTTCAATCTGGCTTCCGCCCTCTCCACTCTACTGAGACTGCTCTTATCAAAGTTACTAATGACCTAATCGCAGCTAAATCCAAAGGCCACTAGTCCATACTAATTCTTCGTGACCTCTCTGCTGCCTTTGACACAGTTGATCATGCTCTCCTTCTTCAAACTTTTCAATCACTTGGTCTCTGTGACTTTGTCCTCTCGTGGTTTTCCTCTTATTTCTCCCAATACTCATTCAGTGTCTCCTTTTCTAATAATACCTTGGTCTTCCCAAAAGCCGTATTGCCCCACCACAGTCTGTAATGAATGCTGCCGACAGACTGATTTTCCTCTCTAGTCAGTCCTCTCACAGTCCTCACATTGGCTTCCTCTATCCTATAGGAGTCAATTCAAAGTGCTAACCCATACATATAAAGCACTGAACAATTCTATCCCCTCTTATATTTCCTCACAGATCCATAGGTATGCCCCTTCTTGGTCTCTCCGCTCTGCCTGTGGCCTTCTCCTGTCCGCTGCTCGCACCCATAGGGCCAACTCACGCCTGCAGGACCTCTCATGGGAGGCTCCCTTCCTATGGAATAGCCTGCCTGCCGCCATCAGACTCTCCCCTAGTCTTCCATTATTTAAGAAGTACCTTAAAACCCATCTCTTTAGGAATGCTTATGGCCTCTCAGAGTAACCTCTACCTTACATACCTGTTTCTTGCTCTCTCCTAAAGGGCAGCACTCTACTCTCTCCTCCCGCTCTGCTTCACTCCCACCCTATTTGATTGATATTCCTGTCCTAATGTGTTTTATACCCCACCTCCTATAGACTGTAAGCTTGTTTGAGCAGGGCCCTCTTTAACCTATCATTCCTGTAAGTTTTCTTGTAATTGTCCTATTTATAGTTAAATCCCCCCTCTAATAATATTGTAAAGTGCTACGGAATCTGTTGGCGCTATATAAATGGCAATAATAATAATAATAATATAATATGCCATTGTCAACAGTTTATTAAATAAATGCAACCGCACTGGCTACAGTACCGCATGTGTTTGCTGTGTTTTGCAGGGCATGCACACTAACCTCCCAATACTTTCCTATGGGAAAGGATTGGATTGGCTAAGATTATCTGTGCAGTGATGAGCGTGCCCTTTCTGGCATCACATGGGCAAAGGTCACCAAAAGGTCAGCCCACTTTTATGCCTATTTTAGCTCTTGTACTGTGTCTTGTCGTGGTTATTTTACAGTTTTCTTTGATCGAGACTTGTTTATTGACTATTCTCCATTCTTTTGTCCCTCACCTTTGTCTTGTCTTATCGTCTGTGTTACATTCTGTTTCCCTGACCTGTCTTGTCTTGTACTTCTCAATTTTGTGTTAAGTCCGGCCACTCTAAGGAAATGTAATAGGCCCTCATTCTCCTTTCTATATTGACTTTAGTTGACATCTAGGGTCTCATAACGTGACACTGAGTTCAGAGTCAATGCAGAGTCTCACAGCAAATATACTGAGTGCAGCTAGTGAGCCATTTAACAAGACACCTGCAATGGCTGCTTTTTAAAGAGTCCCCATTAATGCTTCTCCCAAATGGAGATAAGGCACAATATTCTGTTGTAAAATCAAATCTCATAAAAATGACATATTATTTTTCGTTCTTCATTCCAGTAATAAGGATTTACAATGGTTCCTAACCGTTTACGTCCCGTTACTATTTGTCTTCAATGTAAAAATGAACAATAAGTCACAGTTACACTTTTACAAGTTTGCAAATGTTAGATTTACAGCATCACTATAAATATTCTATCTCTTGGATAGGAAGTATGTATATAAATGCAATATGTCATGAAGCCAGGCTTGTCAAGGCACGGATCTTATGAATTAGTTTAGCAATTTCTACTCTAAGTGACTCACGAGCATAATCTGTAATTAAAGATTGAATGGATGTCAAGCGACCAGTTGTTATATTGACACAGGAAGGAAAAGACCAATATTTTGAGGCTAATAGTTGTGTATTTGTAATTAATATTTATTAAGCACAGTTGAGTAAAGTAACCTGCTAATGTAAAGTATTTTATTTATGTTTGTGACGTATTGAAATAAGTAACGGATGTATTATTGATTAGAAATGCTTTGTGATACAGATTTAGATGGATACAATTCCCATTGAGATGTTTTTTTCTTTGTGTTAATTGTTGAAAAGGACCTACAGCTGGGTTTACCAAAGGTTAGATGTGAGATGGAGAAATTGTAGTAAGATGTCAATTTACGACAGAGACATGCAGGGAGACAGCCAAACTGTACGTTCTATTTAACTATGGCCTCAATTCGATATTTTTGGATACAATTAAAAAATTACTTAATATTATAAAAAAAATGTTTTTTTTTATATTCTGAGAGTTCTTTAAATATTTTTTATTTTATTTCTTTTTATATTTTAATATTTTGAAAAAAATATTTTAAAAGCTTTTTCCAAATTAATAAATAATATTAAAGTGGCACTGTAACCCTATATTAAAAATGAGTATTTGATAAAGATTGTATCTTTATGAAATACTCATTATGACTGTGTTAGAATTTCACTGAAATTTCAACCCAGTCAAGAGATATACAGAGGCAAATTAGGAACTGTATACTGACATTTCCTGACACAAAGCCGAGCCTATACGTCAAGTCCTGCAGCCGTTATCGGTGATGGCTGCAGGGTATTGGCCTGGTCTATAGAGGACACTGCGGTCTCCTTGTGGCCAGTGGTCTCTCACACAAATAAGGGATAATCATCTCCCTCCTCAAAGTAGTCACTGGAATCAAATTCCTAGCCAAGATCTTTATTTGATAAAATTAATCCCTTTATACAATGAATATCCAGGTAAGATATCTGCAATATGAGGCGACGCATGAACTTCCTCCATTGTTTCCCGGCTGACCCATGCCTTCCTCCCTTTGTGCTATATTGGCTTGTGTGCTTTAATTCATATTAGTTTGGTAGATCCATGCACTTCTTCAAATGGCTCCCTAGTTTATTCACACCGTTGCATGCCCTTACATGCATATTATTCTGCCCAGCGGGCACCTTGGGGCTTAGGACTCTTTTCAAAGTTACAATGTGAGTGAATCTTTGCATGTCTGTGGATATGAATGTCTGTGAATATGAATATCTGTAATTTATGAATATCTGTGAACGTGAATGTCTGTGAATATGAGTGTCTGTGAATCTGTGTGAATGTATGTGAATGCATGAATAAGTGAATGTGAGAATCTATTTGATTATATGAATGCATGTGAATGTTTGCATGTGTGAATGTGTAAATCTATGTGAATGTGTCAATTTCCATGAATGTCTAAATGTATTTGAACGTGTGAATATCTATGAATATCTGAATGTATGTGAACTTGAAATGTGTCAGTTAGCCTTTGGCTTATCCTATCCTGTGTATTAGTAGAATCGTAACTGTTTTGGGAACCTACATCTTCTGGTAAAAAAACGGTAATGTTTTAAAGGCCCGGTTACAGGGGTATGTAGTTCAGGGTGGGTGCGTAAAAAAATGTGTACCTTCTAAATGAAGTGCTTGGTATGTGTTTTGTCATTTACATCACTATGAGTTTCCAGATCTCCTTTCATGGCTCCATTTTAATAGTCTCCATGGAACATCAGGAATTAACGTGTAGGGATATGTTTTATAGAGACATTCTGAGAATAACTAGCTTTTCGGTTTTTTTTTTTTGTTTGTTGGCAATAGACAAGTCTGTGAGCATGAATCATTCTTCCGATCAGAGAGCAGTCGGTATAGGAAACTTCTCCTCTCAGAAAGTGTTCTCTATCATTCCAAAGATAATTCATCCACACTTCTAATTGCCAGACAAATAAACCCGCAGGTGGGCATTCGTGATTTGCTGCTGTAAGTAGAACAACCTTAAGGACTTCCTGGCGACTATTGTGGGTGAAGGATATTAAAAAATAAAAGTAGCTGATGTTTTAATTTGCTTGGCTCATATTCCAGATCCTTCGTCTATTAATACGTTGCTCCTGGGTACCTGGCACTGGCCCTGTATTATTAAAGAATAAAGATGCATCACTCGCACTCTGTGTACATATTTGCTCATGTCGTTGAATGTATGTTCTGTTTAATGCTGTTTTACAGGTTACTGCTAAGGTTAACTCTTTCCATGCATTTGTGTTTTATGTAGTTGTCACGGTGACATGTCCTCTGGGTTGTAGGGATTAATTGGTGTAATTAGATTGTTTGTCCTGTTAGCGCCGCTTTGTATTTGCTTTTTTGAGGGGGGAGGGGGGCAACTTAAGAGAGAGAGATAAATCCCCCAGAACAGCCGGTATATAGAATAAAAAAAATAATTTCAAAGAATGCCGAATGGATGTGAATGACGATTACACAAATAGAAATTTCCTAAAAATTACCAAATTTGTAATTTTAGTCAATTAACAGAAACCTAAGTGTGAAAACAAGAACATTTCTGTAATTGAGTGGTTTACTTACTCTTGAGTTACAAATTTACATTGTTATTTATTTATTTATTATTATTTTTTTTGGTCTACACAACATTAATTAGAGTGCACCAAGTTTATAGTTATTGATATGTTGATAGTTTATCATGTATTGCATTCTGTGTGCATTTTTCGTCCAATCATGTGGCCAGTATCACTGTGACATTAAAAAAATGATGTTCTCTTAAACTTCTATTAAATTCATTATATTGACAATTTCTGTGAAGGAGTGAGTGTGTGAGTGTATTTGTGAATGTATGTGACAGAGAGAGAAACGTGTGTGTGTGTGTGTGAACAGTGCCTTTCTCTATGGAATGTATGATTGTATGACTTGGATAACGTGATAACTTTAATTGTGTAACAAGTTACATAAATAAATTAGATATTCTGACACAAATGCCCACTCACACTTGTCATTGATTTCCTTAGTTGGTTCTGCTGACAATAATGATCTAAATGTTCTTTAGAGGGCAAAAAAACAAAATAATATCAAACAATAAATTGTTTATTGCTCTTAAATGTTTCGTACACAAGAACAGTTAATCTTTGGACCAATTCCATGCTGTACTATTCTCTGTGATCTCAGAACGTTCTGAACCTGCCATGTTAAACAAAAAAATGGAAAAAAAGAGAAAACCATTTGTACTTAGTGAATACTGTCTAACGTCGTACGGCTAATTATGCCGCCACTTCTGTGTATTAAGCAGTTTTTCTTCTCGTCCAAGTAAATAATGTTCCCAATTGTTTTTCTCTAATATGAAGGTTCAGGGAGGGCAGCACAGTCTGATTTTTCAGAAGCAGCACAGACAAAAAACGTATTGGTCGCGTTTACTAAGAATCATTTCTCAAAAAGGAGCCTTTCCAGATCAGCTTTTTAGCCAAGCAAATGTATTTTAGGAGTGAGTTCATGGCTCCTAAACTGATTTACTAGGCTGCACCTCTCAACGAGGGCCCTTCTAATTAATTGGCTGTGGAAAAGTGCTAGATTTGGTAAATTACACCTCAGTTGGAGCCATGTGAAGATTCATTAAATCAAAACTGCAAGATCTGCCCCTTAATCATTCCTCGCGCCCCCTGCTTTAATACAGCTCTGTTCTGTGCGTTCTGCATTACCATCTGAAAATTACACCCTATAAAACATGTACATCTAAGCAATTATTTTCAATATGCATTTATGCATTGAATCAAATTTACCTTCAAATACAAACGGTGGTCTCTAAATATAGCAGGAAGTCATTGAAAGGTTTTTCATGTGATTTTTATTTTAATGGGACAAATAAATAAATAAACAAATAAATAAATGTGTATTTTTTGTGTCTTCATAATCAATCAAATGTTTTAGATATATTTAGCGATGATAAAAAATGGATGGACAAAAACAAGTTTCGACGAACATGCCGACATACTCTTTAGTAGATATGGTAAGGAATTAATTTTATTAGATTGCTTGGCTAGAGTGTATCCTGCAACTTCCAACCTCAGAGATGGGCAACTCATTGATCTGACTGGACATTGATTGGGGAAACTTCTCTTGTAGGGGTTCTTCTCATATGGAGAGAATTTGTCACAATATCTTACCTTTCTCTCACAGACCCGCGAGGTGTAGCACTGGGTGCCGACTCCTCCCGGCGATGGCACGGCATGTCGGACACCGGACGCTCTACGCACACCTCCTTTTATGATGAAGTGCATGTGCGCCGACGTCATAGCGGCTATGCTGTGAAAATGCTAAATATTCCACTCTCCCTGAGCATTAAAGCAAAAGACGCTCCACTATAAAATAGTGCCTTTTGTTTTTGTTCATAGCCCTAATGTGTTGTTCCCTCTAGTGCTATCCTATTATCTGTCTGTGTATCTTGGTATTTTGACTCGGCTTGTGTTTATTGACTATTCTTCGTTCTGGTATCCTGACCCGGCCTGTTTTCTCATTTATCCTGTTTTCTGGTTCCCTGACTTGGCTATTCCTTATCGTTATCCTTGACTTTGGCTATTCTTGGACTATTCTACCTACTTTAAACCCGGCCATTCTAAGGTCCGGTAATACGTTTTCTGTTTGGGTCACTTGTTGTGACAGGATTCCTGAGAAGAAAATACTGCATTTTATTTTTATGTGACATAATTCCACAGACGTTTATCACTTTTCTTTCCCAAAGCTATGTCTAATGTTCTATGTGTTTAGAAACTTAGAAACATAGAATGGGACGGTAGATAAGAACCATTTCGGCCCATCTAGTCTGCCCAATTTTCTAAATACTCTGATAAGTCCCTGGGCTTATCTTATAGTTAGGATAGCCTTATGAATATCCCACATATGCCTAAACTCCTTCACTGTGTTAACCTCTACCACTTCAGTAAAGTAATACTTCCTGATATTATTTTTAAACCTTTGCCCCTCTAATTTAAGACTATGTCCTCTTGTTGTGGCAGTTATTCTTCTTTTAAATATAGTCTCCTCCTTTACTGTGTTGATTCCCTTTATGTATTTAAGTGTTTCTTTTAGTTTCCACAGTCTGTACAGTGTATAGAAATATAACTGGACTCCACTTAACCTGAAGTTCATCTGCTGAAGGGACAATAGAAATCTGAAAGTTTTTAATAAATCTACTTTTTGTTGGACAATAAAGGTACAATTTTTCTGCCTTGTTTTATTTTTCCTCAAAGACATTCTTCCTGATCTATTATTACTTGTAACTCCACATGTGGCCACATGGGGGATATAACAGTTTTATAATAAAAATTACAAGCCTGGCTGAGTATTACTAAATCCCCCTGTGGCCACATGTAGCCACAGAGATTAAAATGTTTTTGTTGGGCTTAGCTTTTGCCATTGGGTTTATTGGCATACTTTTTACAAATAAAATATTGTGTTGCTGGTCTTATATTGGTCATTTGATATTTTGGAGTCAGGTATAAAATCTTTGTAGTTTTCCCCCTCCCCTCCTTCCCCCCCTTCCCCCACTCCCTGTTGTTGATTTCCTTTCTGCTCCCTCTTGCCTTTCTGAATGTACCTTCCTTCATTGCTGGTATGATAACTCTACTGGTGCAAACATTCAAAGTTTGAAGGTTCAGATCCTGGTGGTTCCACAGATCCTTTTGTTCTTCTGAGCTTAATGAAATGAGTAAGTGATCTTACGTGTCAAAATACTGCAATCAATATAATTCCCAAGAAAAAGTTAGTGAGGTGACAATATTTTCCTCTTAATTTTGATTATTTTTTTGTCAGGTGGGATGGGGTGGTTTAAGGTCTATAGAGCTGCTGGGATCACAGGAACTCAGCGGAGACTGACATTGCCCTGTCTATCAAAACCAGATATAATTTAGGGTTTGTAACCAGTGAATTGTAACCGTTTAACTTGGTGAATGAATTAAAGCATATTCTGGTGAGCAACTGACATGGACTATTAAAAATATTAGAAGAACTTTATTATAGCTTTATGTCTTCAAAAAATGATGTGTGTTGATTTTGTTTTGCTTGTGTACAATTCGGGATTATTCTAACCTTAGTGACCGAATAATCTTAATTTTATTAAAGACAGGAGGCAAATATTTGCTTTACTTTCTTTACTGTTACTCCCAGCAGCAAAAAAACAGTTAACAGTAAGTAGAAATTTTTTTTAACCAATCAGAGTGTACAATAGATTATGTCCAGTCATCAGGCTCCTCCCAATTCCTCTTTCGTGATGCAGCCGACCGCCGCAGAGTCAACCATGTAAACGGTGAAACAATAAAGGTCTCAATTGTAGTCAACCATGTAAACGATGTGGGAACATAGGTAATTCCTTGAGATGTAGTGAAGGGTTCTTACACTAGGAAAAAAGAGAGAGAGAGGTCGTGAAAGTATGGTTTCTTAGGTAATGGAAAAACAATACCTAATTACGTTATCTGATATGTTTCCAACAAGTTGTACAGTCCTATTCTGACAAGTCTTAAATTATGAGGTAGTGAGTGTAGTATCCGTAGTAGTTGTAGGAGAGGCCTGAAGCGTAGGTTATGAAACATTGGTTTAGTCGGTAGAGGTGTTGTGGAATACTTACCTAGTTGGGTTGGGTGTGTGTATTAGCGGGTGGGAAAATATTCGCCTCCTGTCTTTAATAAAATTTAGATTATTCGGTCACTAAGGTTAGAATAATCCCAAATTTTATGGCAAGACAGGAGGCTTCATATTTGCTGTTTTAAAGCCATGATATGATGGCATTAGATACATGAGGGGGTTGTCTAAAATAAAAGGTTCGGAAGGTGGATTCTCTAGACCAATCTACGGAAGTGAGGATCTCCGTTAGGGAGCCCCCAGATGTAAATGCAGACGAGGCGGCCGCGCCTTGGACTGAGTGAGCACCAAAACATGGGTTGATACCAGCTAGGACTAGAAGCCATTTGATCCAACAAGCAATCGTGGGACATGACACTGGCTTGTGAGGTCGAACGTAGGATACCAGTAGGGGTCCCGTTCGTGGTCTAAGATCCTTGGTGTGGAGGGTGTAGTGTCTGAAGCAACTAGCTAAATAAGGCTAGTCGCGAAAATAAGGCTAGCTTACTGTAGATGAATTGGTTTTGGTGCGTTGGGTAATGGAGAAGTGCACTCCCTCAGGGGTAAAGTCCACCGCATGGACATCAAACGCTCTGATGTCCAAAACTCTTCTAAACGATACCAAACAGAGCAGTAGTGCCAGTTTGGCCCACAGTTGTCGAAGAGAGAGTTCTCCATTAGGAGGCCACTCCTCCAAAAATGATAATACCATAGTAACATCCCAAAATTGATTATATTTGGGTGCCGGTGGTCTCGCAAGGCGCATGCCTCGCAGAAGTCTACATATGGAAGGGTGTTTACCAACCGCGGAGTTATCAACCAGGCTATGGGCTGCCGAAATGGCTGAACGGACAATGTTAATTGACCGATAGGACTTACCCTGTTCGAAAAGTGACGCCAGGAAATTCATAATGTTGATCAGAGAAGTTGAAAAGGGATCAGCGTCCCTCTCCAAGCACCAGCTATTCCAGCATTGCCACGCTGAGAGATAAGAGCGTCTTGTGCCCGGGGCCCAAGAGTCCCATAGTAGTCCTTGAGCAGTAGTCGAAAGGCCTGAGACATTCCAGGATTCCCTGAAATGGTCCAGGCCACTAACCAAAGGTGGCCTTGTAGTGCTAGTGGATGGAAATTGCTTGAGGGGTCCCTGAGGACATTGTATGAGGTGGGTAGGAGTAGGGGGTAGTCCACTGACATCTCCAGGTGATACGGGAACCAAGGTTGAGTTCGCCACAGTGGGGCTACCAGAATTATGGTGACGCCCTGTGTTCTGAGGTATTGGATCGTGCGAGGAATCATGGAGAATGGGGGAAAGGCATACGCTCCGGATGTTGGCCACGGTTGGAGAAAGGCGTCCACTGCCAGGCACGCTGGGTCTGGGAGCAAGCTGAAGAATGAGTCCGTCTGACGATTCAGGCGAGATGCAAATAGGTCCAGGTTGAATGGTCCTCTCGGGATCTGTAGATGATGAAAAATTTGTGGATCCAGTTGCCAATCGCTGGAATCCCTCCAGTGGCGTGAGAACCAATCTGCGACGAGATTGTCGGAGCTCGGGAGATATTCCGCACGAAGGGAGATATTCCTGTCCAGGCATAATTGGTACAATTCCTTTGTCAGATCTGATAGCATCTTTGATTGTGGGCCACCTAGGCGGTTCACATATTGTACTGCTGCGACGTTGTCCATCCGCAGGATGAGGCTGCAGTTGTATGCCTCCTTGGCAAAACTGCGGATCACGAAAAAAAACCAGCGATCAGTTTGAGGCAATTGATATGTAGTGCCTGTTCTGATGGGAACCAGAGGCCTCCAGTGGAACGTTCCGAGCAGGTGGCACCCCATCCGAGGAGGCTGGTATCCGATTCCAGAATGAAGTCGGGTTGCCGGCCGAAGATAGCCCTTCCGTTCCAGGCTTCCATATGTTGAAGCCACCAGTGGAGTTCTAGTTGGACCTCGTCTGTAGAGATGTCCCGAACAGTTCGCCGGCGGACAGTTCCCGGCGAACATCGCATGTTCGCGTTCGCCACGGCGGGCGAACATATGCGATGTTCGGTCCGCCGCCTATTCCATATCATTGAGTTATCCGATTGTGCGGGCTAAATCCCTGAGTCGGAGGTAAGGCGTTGTTAGTAATCTCCGGATGTCCTTTTTTATGGATTTGATTTTCGTAACAGGCAGTTACAGGACTGCTTGAATCGAATCTATCTGGAATCCCAGAAACTGTATCGTCTGAGATGGGGTCAGGGATGATTTTTGGAGGTTGATGATGAAACCCAAATTCTGGAGAAGGGCCGAAGTCATCTCCGTATGGAGATGTAGAGTCTCTTTGTCTTGTGCCATAAGGAGGATATCGTCCAAGTATATGATGGACCGAATTCCTTGTGAACGGAGGAGCGCCATCACCGGTTTCATTAGTTTGGTGAAACACCAAGGTGCGGAGCACAGTCCGAAGGGGAGGCAGGTGAACTGCCATAGTGTCTCGTCCCAATTGAATTGGAGGAAAGTGCGATGTTCTGGCGTGATTGGTATCGTAAGGTATGTATCTTTGAGGTCGAAACGGGAAAACCAATCTCCCTTGCAGAGGAGGTCCCGTAATAGGTGGATGCCTTCCATCTTGAAGTTTCTGTATCTGATGAATTTGTTCAGTTCTCTCAGATTGATGACTGGTCGGAATTCTCCCGACTTTTTCTTGACGAAAAACATATTGCTCACGAAACCTCGTTGGGTGAGGGCCCGTTCGATGGCACCCTTGTTGACTAGGTCGTTGAGTTCGGCTTGAAGGGCCATGTCATCTATTTGAGACATTTTGAGAGGGGCAGGCAAGGATACCTGAATTGGATCCTCTGTAAAGTCTAAGTGGAAGCCGGAGACGGTCTGAAGGATCCACGGATCCTGCGTGAGTTGGTACCACTTTTGGGAAAAATTTATTAATCGGCCTGCTATAGGTACATGAGAAGAATGAGAGTCCCTTACCTGTAGGAGTGCGACCGCGGAGGGAAGCAGATCCACGTCCTCTAATGGCTCCACGAGAGGGGAAGAACTGCTTGTGGTGGAAACGGGTATTGCCCGAGTTCCAATGTTCGGAAGGTCGAGGCCTATAGCCTGTAGAGGCAGCTCTGCCAGCCGTCCGGCCTCTGTAATGGCTGGCTCTCCCAGAAAAACGTTGGGACCTAAATACCTTGCGTAATGAAGATTGTGCTTTTGTAAGCGTAGTAAACACAGCCACGTGTTTACTTAATTCTTTAATAAATTTGTCTCCAAAAAGCATACATTGTGCCTCAGGGCCAAGCTCTTTAGTGCCTAATTCGGCAAGCTTTGAGTTGATCTTATATAAAGCAGCTTTCCGCCTTTCGGTTGACATAGCAACATTCGCGTTGCCTAGTAGGCATAATGCCCTCTGTGCCCATTCTCACACCATGTGTGCGTCTAGAGTGCCACCTGCCAAAGCCTCATCTGCAATAGTGAAAATCTGGATAAGCGGTCCCGCCATATCCATCATTTTATCTTGCGTGGCCTTCAGGCCTTGTTCCAAACCCTTACGGGGGTCTTTTCCTGTCTTGTACAGGAAAGTGACGAGTAAGGGATCGAATTCTGGGGTAACCGCCACCTTGTCTGGGATTACAGGTCATGGGCATTCTGCCCTTAATTTAGCTCTGACCTCTTTTTCCAAAGGTTTACGGAGCCACATCCTACAAAACTTAGCTATGTGGTCTGGGGGGCTCCACTCTGCAGACCGTGGGTGTTTGATATACCTAGGGTCGAACAGGGGGCGGCCAGAGGTATCTAGTAAAATATCCTCAGATATGTTTTGGTTAGGGTCAGAGGTTAGGAACTCATTTTGGTGGGGTTCATGTGAGGGGAGGTCCTCGTCTGAATACCCTGCAGAGTATTCATCCAGTACCTGAAGTTGCAGGTTGGAAGTTGAACCCTCTAATGGGTCAAAGTTATAATTGGGGGTATCATCCCGAGTACCAGAAAGGGATAATCTAGGTGCTTTTGCTGGTGCCTTGTCTTTATCGGCGCTAGCACTATTGCCCTTCCAAGGGCGTTTGCAGGGACATTCGTCATGGTCTGAACCTTTTGACTCTTCAGAGTCTGAGAGGTGAACGAGAGGAGCTCTGGGGGCAGACTTTGAATGTTCTTGAAACGCTGCCAAAGCTTTGGGAATGGAGTCTGCGATGGCGTTATACAGCCAAGTTTTGAGCTCCGCAGATACTGGTGGTTCAGGTAAATCAGACATTTTTATAAAGAGAAGTGGGGTCACCACGAGTATAAATATATATACAATATGTATTTTTTTTTTCTTTTTTTTTTTCTCTAAGGCAGTGGACTTATGCAAAACACAAAACGTGTATATATAAACTCGAAGTGTTAATCAAGTGTAGGGGTCACCCACAGTTATTACAGCGGAAACGGTATAACCGTATGAATATTACGTAATGAGGGGGTCACCCTCAGGAGACAGTAAAAAGGGGGTCACCCTTTAAATGAGGCAGAAAAACTGTATAACATAGAGGGGGTCACCCTCTTTAATGAGGCAATTATTAAATTAATAGTGAGGGGGTCACCCTCAGTAATGAGACAAATTTCTTGTGCAAGGGTTTAGAGCAATCTGCAACAAAACAAAGTAGGAACACTTTAATAATACTGGTTAACAGTTCAATTGTTAACTTTCTGTCAGAAAAATATGTGTTAATGTACTTACCTGAAAGTACCAATAGAGGCGCTGGAGAGCCGATGTGAGCAGCAGCCGTCCAGACGTTCCGGTGTAAGGGAGGAAAAGAGCGCGAAAAAAGCCCGTCGAGAAATGGCCGCGGGAGGAAAGAGTCGTCGCTATGGAGACAGATAAGGGGCCGGGATTGTTCCCACAGAGGGGGGCGACGATATTGCCGAGGTTGGCAACCGGCCAGAAGCTGATCAGCTCTCGGCTTCTGGCCGCACGGACAGATATACAAAATGCCTCTGTAGTTCTGAGGCAGAAGGCAGCACACACAGACCGTTTGGGGATTAAACAGAAGGCATAGAAAGAAATCACTAAAGGCACAGACCATTTAAAGGGGAAATGGTCTGAAATAAATATTGTTAAAGGCACAGTTAAGTTTACACATAATGTCAAATAAATAAATAAATAATAATAATATAATAAATCAAAGTAAGACTATTAATACTAGACTATAATTGGAATAGACTCACCTGGGAGGCTAAGCAGCAAAGAAAGAGGAATTGGGAGGAGCCTGATGACTGGACATAATCTATTGTACACTCTGATTGGTTAAAAAAAAATTCTACTTACTGTTAACTGTTTCTTTGCTGCTGGGAGTAACAGTAAAGAAAGTAAAGCAAATATGAAGCCTCCTGTCTTGCCATAAAATTAGAATGTGTGCGTTGTTTTCATCAACAGCAAGATCGCATGCAGAGATAACAGTTGATACTGAGGTGATTAGTCCACCAGAATGTTTTAATAAAGAGGGTTTGAAGGTTCTGAATAAATCTCCAGGAAAAATATAATGAAAAGTTGGACAAACCTATGAAGCCCCCATGCTCGTAGGGCCCCCTGGCAACTGCCCAGCGTGCCCAACATGCCCATGCGTTAAGACAGCCCTGGGTAAGGGACAGATTAGAAGGTGTGGTAAAATAGAGGACGGACAATAGACCAAAATGAGCGACACTGGGGAGGTTACCAGGTATGTTGGTGGTGAGAAGAATATATTGTGCCGGTGGTGAACTGTACATAGTGTTCAATATGGCAACCTGGGCACTATCGATTAGAGACACACAGGGCTTAAACAGGGCTCTATCGGATGTGAGCTGAGACTCTTGTTTCTCTGTACGGATGGGAATTTATACATTTGCTTTCATATGGTTGTAAATTTCTTAATTTTGTTGTTTATTTTCCAGTTATTATTTTATGATCCTGGAAAATTGAAGTTAAGGATTGAACAATATTATGTTCTCTGACAGTTTGGTAATAATTCATTATGATAATTACTTTGAATAAATGACCAGAAAAGAATCAACACAATGGATTTAATAGGAAAGTGGATATAATGACAATTCATTTCCCAAAGCAAACAGATACTGATACTGCTGTTGCAACAGCAGCACCTAGTGGACAGATGTGCTAATTGTTACTGCAGAAAAATTCCAGTTTAATGATCATGAACTGCGTCAAGGAATAAAACTTAGTATTACTTTGTCCGTAGAATGATATTTCAAATGAAATCAAAGAAACAGGCTTCACAAGGAGACATCTTACTGCTAATGTACTTATTAAATCCATAGGAATCTACATTTAACCCCTTAGTGACCAGACCGTTTTTCAATTTTCTTACCGTTAAGGACCAGGGCTGATTTTACATTTCTGCGGTGTTTGTGTTTAGCTGTAATTTTCCTCTTACTCATTTACTGTACCCACACATATGATATACTGTTTTTTCGCCATTAAATGATCTTTCTAAAGATATCATTATTTTCTTCATATCATATAATTTACTATAAAACAAGTTATAAAATATGTTGAAAAAAACCCCCAAAAAACACCTTTTCTAACTTTGACCCCCAAAATCTGTTACGCGTCTACAACCGCCAAAAACACCCATGCTAAATAGTTTCTAAATTTTGTCCTGAGTTTAGAAATACCCAATGTTAACATGTTCTTAGCTTTTTTTGTAAGTCATAGGGCTATAAGTACAAGTAGGACATTGCTGTTTCAAAATATATATTTTTAAAATGTATCAATGGTGACATTGCAACACTGTTATCTGTCATAAATCTCTGAATCACACCTCACAAATTTTATTAAAGTAGACAATCCAGGGTATTCAATATGGGGTATGTCCAGTCTTTTTTAGTAGCCACTTAGTCACAAACACTGGCCGAAGTTAGCATTTATATTAGTGTGTGTGTTAACTATGAATGCTAACTTTGGCCAGTGTTTGTGACTAAGTGGCTACTAAAAAAGCCACTTGCAATACCTTGGATTGTTTTCTTTTGCAAATGGTATGCCATCATGGGGGTAATTCTCATTCCTTGACTACCATACGCTCTCAAAGGAAACATAACCAATCAGGCAAATTTAAATGTGAAAAAACAGAAAATCAAGCCTTATATTTTACCCTGTTACTTTCAAAAACACTATAAAACCTTTACATGAGGGGTACTGTTATACTCAGGAGACTTCGCTGAAAACAAATATTAGTGTTTCAAAACAGTAAAATGTATCACAACAATTATATTGTCAGTCAAAGTGCTGTTTGTGAGTGAAAAATGCATAAAAAGGCACATTCGCTGACGATATCATCGTTGTGATATTTTTTACTATTTTGAAACACTATTATTTGTGTGCAACAATGTCTCCCGAGTAAAACAGTAGCCCCCATGTACAGGTTTTATGGTGTCCTGAAAAGTTACAGGGTTAAATATAGGGCTTGCAAACCAAATTCTCTGGACTTTCTGCTTGGGTCGTCAGGCAGGTCCCTCAAATTGTAATGAATAAAATGACTTAATTATCTAATAATATTATACAAATATATTTGTAGAATTTAAATATATATATATATATATATATATATATATTAATTATTTTTATTTATATATAACAATATAATAATAATAATAATAATAATAATAATAATAATAATAATAATAACAAAGTATTTAACCAGGAAAGGTACATTCAGATTACTCTGCTTTTCAAGTATGTCCTGGGGATGTTACCTTAGCCCAACATCCAGAGGTGATTACTATTCCCCAATTTAATGGTACTCATTTTATCTACCTTGGAAGGATGAAGGGCTGAGTCAACCTTCAGATATAAATATGTATTTATAATGCCATTCTTAATTTATTTTGATTTAAATATATATATTAATATCAAAATACAGTTAGAACAAATTTAAATCGGTATATAATTTTATTTTAAATTACATTTTTTAATTTTTAATTTAATTTTTTTCATTTGTTTCAATTTATTTATTTATATTTATTTATAAAAGTACGTAGATCATATATATATATAGCATTAAACCAGCTGGTAATTAATCCTTTTACCTTAAGGATTACTATATTACTATACTACTGTAGCTACCGCACTTCAACCCCTAGTTACTGGACTAACCCATCAGCTCATGTGAATATATATATATATATGATCTAAGTACTTTTATTACCTTGTAAAACTGTTTTGCATGCATGAGGGGGACAGCCTAAGAGCTCAGGCACTCCCCCTGCACGCACTGCCCAAGCCGGCTATTCCGGCCATGTATTCGCGAGGACCCCGCGATCACATGGCCCAGGGGAGTGTGAGGGGTGGAGGCCGAACAGCCGGGATGCCAGGCAAGTACCCATTTCGCGATCACCGGCGGGGGATTGTTAACGACCATTTTTGTCAGACTTACCTGGTACGTCCGAGGTCGGGAAGGGGTTAATATGTTATTGTACTGTGGGGATTTACTGGCATTATGTAATGCTACTTCATTTTTGCACAATGGTGGCTAAAATGTAGATCCCCATCTGTCGTACAAGTCCTAGAATGCTTTGTTAGCTTAAGTTCTAAAATTTGCCCATCCTTTCAGTGTTTTATTTAGCACTTAGCTGTGTTTAAGTATGTGTGTGAATGTTGGTGTTTGAATGCAGTTGTGTATTTGTGTGTAGTGACACACACACACACACACTGATACACATATAGGTACACACTGACACACATACAGACACACACAGACAGAAACTGACATACATGCAAATAAACAGACACATTGATACACACACAGACACACCAACACACAGTTACACACACTGACATGTGCAGAAACACACAGACATGCAGATACACACACACACACACTCAGATACACACAGACACTCAGGTACACACTGATACACGGATACATACACAGACACACTGACACACACATGTTTTTTTTTTTTAGCTACCCTTCTGTTTCTTACCTTTTGGGTGCAAGAGGGTGGACTCTGCTGGCTGAGGCTGTTGTGAGTCAGAGTCTGAGTCTGTTTCTCCTCCGCTCTGCCTTGTCCAGAGAACCCCCCCAGAGAACTAGGCACAGAAGGCTAGGTTGGGGATATACAAGACAGTGTTTCAAAAGCGACAGCAACATACAAATTCGCAGAAACAAATTTATCACACAGCAAACAGAGAAATAAGAACCTATGGATAACATATTCCAAGAGACAATGTTACTATTTTAGCAACAATGAAGAAACAGTCATAAAGTGAGTCCATTGGACACATTTTGTGATTTAGGCTATGCAGACTTTTGTATGTTTTTATAGCTGTGCTTGTTATGGACTTTGTTTGTTATGTTATTAGTTGACTAACAATATTTTGTGTTAAGTTTATAGAATGTAGTAAAACATGTAGGAGATGTCTTTGGGGGCAAAGCTTCAGGATATTCATTAGTAATTCATTAGTACAGTAACCTGCACATTGTGTAATCCTGAACTATAAAGATGTGTTTTTCAATTTAAGGGTAGCCTACCACAATCGCTATCACTAGACATCCAAACAGGTGTTAAAAGAAGTTACCAAAGCACACCAATGACAAATAATAGGGAAAAATAAGAGTGGGTGTCTTTGTTTCTTTGTAAACTTTTTGGCTGCGTAGATAAACTTTCTCCATTCCCATATTACGGTCTTTATATATACTGGTTTTAAGGTTCAGTGGAATGACGTCTGGAGATATTTTTCACAATGCCCGCAGATCCCAGGATACGATTTCTCACAGCATAGTCAGATTACCATTAAACCATAGATACTACAGACTTCGAGGGCATTTTAATAACACAGTTAATTAATATGGTACGTTTGTCTCGATTTGGATGATGGTAAAATTTAGAGACAGATGCATTATGTGTGCCCCTTTGTCGTGCATCAATGCGTCAAACTATTACATATCTGGATGAATCATACAATATGATTTCACCATGAATTACTTCTCGAAGCCTGCAAAGACAAAGCACAAATGTTTTTACAAAGTTCCCTTCCGTGAATTGTATGAGCGATCGTCACTTTGTGTCTGTCACGAGGTGACATTAACCCAAATTGAAATAAAATATTATTAATAATGTCACATTATTAATCCGAACGTATGCAGTGTTTTCTACTTTTCCAGCCTGTCGTAAGTTAAAATGGTAATATTATCCAAAAGTACAAATCTGTTTGACTTTGGGAGCATTAAACCAGCTGGTAATTAATCCTTTTACCTTAAGGATTACTATATTACTATACTACTGTAGCTACCGCACTTCAACCCCTAGTTACTGGACTAACCCATCAGCTCATGTGAATCACTTACACTGTTTACTAAATTGGACACTGTAGGCACTGTATCTGGTTTAGCTCATTAAAGTGGTTATAGTATCTGGAGTCCCATGTCGCTGTCCTTCCATTCAGTGTTAAACAGTTTTTAATGTTTGATTGCTAAACAAAAGTGTCCAGAAGCCACATCCCTCTTTGTGCAGCTTGGACTAATGAGGAAGTATTAGCTTGAGCAGAAATGGGGAGCTGTGATTGGCTGAGAGAGTCAGCTGGCTGCATTCAGCCTATCACAGGTCCCATTGTTGGTAGGAATCAGTATGGCTAGAAGGAAGTGTGTAATCTCTGTTTTAGTCACACCTACAGTGGGGTGGGGCTATTGGAAGTCCGGGACCATCATTCAGTGTTAAATTGCTAAAACTGGTTTAACAATGAATAGAGGGACAGTACCAGGGGCACCAGATACTGTAACCCCTTAAATTAGATTAAATGGTTAGAGTGTCAACAATGTCCATGTAATACTAGGAGATAAATAATTTTTGTAAATACCATTGCCATTTTTTCCATTAGATGGTTACTTTGGGGCAGACCCCCCACTTTAAAGGTGGTACCACTCCTATCACACACACAACTAACAGTCTCCCCACTACAAGCACAACACAACACGCAGGCACCATGCATTCTCTCTCATACACAGCACTCAATAACCATATCAGCCAAAACATACACAACACTCAGTCACCACGCATAACACACACACAAAACACTCAGCCACTTCCACACACAGAGCAGAACCCCTGGATCCAGGTTTGGGAATGTAGTAAACTTATCTTATTAAAACAAAAAAAGGTTTTGTTTGGATAGTAAAATAAGAGACATTTATTACTTTTAATGTTGAGTGTATTCAATTAGTAATCGTACCAATTGAAAACTCTTTTTTTCTTTTACTATATAACGGACCGCTTTAAAATGTATGTTACTACGAGAAAATACTAAGAGCATGAAGTGATGACGCTGACCACAACGAGTCAAGACACTTTAATGGCTTGTTTGGGCACGTTTGGCTGGTGCACACTCAATGGAGACAATTAATGAATACATGGAACAGATCAAAGCCAAGTCTTGCTTGGTTAAACTAAGTACCTGGTGATGGCCCCGTGGCATTCTTCCCCTAATTATAAGATACTCCTAATAATTAATTAATATGCACCGAACACTGACCGTGACATCCGCCAGTCATGTGAATATCCGGAATGGGCTATTGGTGAAAATATAGATTGGTTCAATAAAAATGCAATAGCAGTTTCTGTACTGGAGTTAGCCTATTCCCTGTCACTCCATTTGTGTATTGTAACTCTGACCATGCTCAGTCAGCCGTTTGGTGAGATTTGCTGGAATTCACAGATGTAGTGTCATTAAGGAGGCATCAATCGGTATTCCTCATGTTGTGTGCTGCAAATGACACCGTGTTTAGCATCTGGCTATGCATGATGGGAATTACAATCCATAGTCCCAGCCATGTTGTCCTCTTATCACTCATTCCCCTCCACTAATAGAGAACCAGCAATATTATAGTAGGAATAATAACTGAGGGAAAGAACGTGGTAATAAAATATGTTTTACATTAATAGCCACACTGGGGTTAGGGATTTCCATGGGGGACAAGAGAACAATTGCTAGAGGCAGAAAACAATGTATTGAATAGGGGTTATTGGTATTTATCAAAGATTTCATTTCACATTCTTATGCACAATATATATTTTAATATTATTAAGCAGAAAGCAATGTTTAACTGTGACTATCTGGGTCATCTTTTCGATGAGAATTTATATTTATGCTGGGAATTAATGAAATTATATGTTTTTGAGGAGACACCAATAAAGCAATACTTCGTTCCCAAGTAATGCCCATTTATACATTGCAGCTGCTGAATATTTTATTTGTCCTCCAGTGCATGGCCATCAGCAGGGGGCGGTGGGGGATGGGCAATGGGGGGAAGAAGTGGGAGGTGAGGGGGGTAGCCTATGGATCAGGGAAGTGAGACATGGGGGGCAGCCTATAGATCAGGAACGTGAGGCATAGGGGGCCGCCGATAGATCAGGGAAGGGAAAGATGGGGGGATCCACCTACAGATCAGGTAAGTGAGCAATGGGGGTGGGGGGACAGCCTATAGATCAGATAGGTATGGCATGGGGGGGAGGCAGCCTATAGATCAGGTAAGTGAGGGATGGGGGGGAGGCAGCCTACAAGAAGGGTCAGCAAGGAGCAGGAAGATAAAGTAAGAGAAGGAGCAGAAAAGAGAAGGAGCAGAAATGAGCAGGAAGGGACATCAAGGAGCAGAAAGGGGCAGCAAGGAGCCCAAAAGGTAAAGTAGGAGAAGGAGCACAAAGAAACAGAAATGAGCAGCAAGGGGCAGGAAGGGTCTGCAAGGAGCAGGAAGGGTCAGCAAGGAGTAGGAAGGGTCAGCAAGGAGAATGAAGGGTCAGCAAGGAGCAGAAAGGGGCAGAAAGGGCCAGCAAGGAGCTGGAAATGGCAGCAAGGAGCAGGAAGGGACAGTAGGGGCACAAACGTAAAGTAGGAGAAAGAGCAGAAATTAGCAGAAAGGGTCTGCAAGGAGCAGGAAGGGACAGCAAGGAGCAGGAAGGGTCTGCAAGGGGCAACAAGGAGCAGGAAGGGTCTTCAAGGAGAAAGAAGGGTCTGCAAAGAGCAGGAAAGGACAGAAGAAGCACAAAGGTAAAGGAGCAGAAAGAATCAGAAGGAGCACAAAGGTAAGTAGGAGAAGGAGCAGAAAAGGGTAGCAAGGAGCAGAAAGGGTCTGCAATGAGCAGAAAGGGATCAGAAAGAGAAAGGAACAGAATGGGGAGCAAAATAAGCAGAAAGTAGCAGAAGGTAAAGGAGCAGAAGGAGCCAAGGAGTAGAGAAGGCAGTGTCAGAAGAAAAAGAAAACTGTGTCAAATGAAGGAGAAAAGGAGATTGGAGCAGGAAGGACAAGTGAACCCTCCACTTTATTCTGGACACCACATCATAAGGCTTTGGCACCTGGGCCTGGCAGGGAAACTTTGGACCTTCTCATCTCCCCAGGTAAAAAAAAAATATCAGTGTTAATGTGTTCACTTTTATTAACTGAGTGTCAGGAAGCACAGAGTGCGGTCAGCTGGCACTCTAAGCCAATCAGTAGCTCCACTTTCATAAAAAAGTTAAATGAACTATGAACTAGGGATTGGCTTAGAGCGTCAACTGACCACTCTAGCCAATCAGCGTCACCCATGCCTGACGTCAATCTGCACTTCCTGACACTCCGTTTCAGAAGCCGAATACCACTGAGCGACCTGGAGCTGGAGAAAGCCTTTGGGGTTAAGCCATTTGAGAGCGGTTTAACCCCTTAAAGGAAAGAGAACACCCAGGGGCTTCCTGGCATCATACCATCTTCATTTAGATTAAGTTGTTATGGTGACCAGAATGTTCATTTAATTTGCTTAAAGGAACACTATATACAAACATGTATTCTGGACACTATAGTTGTGAAAACGCTATTCACCCTGGCTTTATGTGATAATGGCTATGCCCCTTCCCTTTCATGACACTATCAAAAAGGGACCAAGCATGGATGTCATTACAATGATGCCCCCACCCTGAAAAATTCCTGCGGACACCCATGCTCCAGTGCATTGTTAAAGTATTTTTCCTTTTACACAGTTATGAAAAAAAAACAACAAAAAAACCCACACATTTAAACAGTGCACCTTAGAATTATAGAAACAAGGTGTAAATTGGACAATGTAGAAAAGTAAAAAAAAAAATTCTATCCCCAATCCAGAGACCCAGCAAATAAGATTTGCATGCTCATTTTTATGGTTCTATTAGTCCTGCTGGGTAAGCCAAACACTTGTTTAGTTACTGTTAATCTTTTCAACTTTTCACTTGGTTTCTGTCACTCTTTGTAATACATTAACCCAGTCGCCGTTCTGCTCGAGAGTTGATAGACAGATTGTTAAACCTAGGTTAAATGGCTCATTTAAAGCAATTTTAACAGTTAATAATTGTTTATTTGTTACTCAGGAAAAAAGGGACACTTTAGATTGATCTGATGACTTGCTTCTCTAATTCTATAATACTTTTAAACTGCTTTATAATTCCTGATATTAAAATTACCCTCTTTTCCATCCAACATCCTTGTAAAATATCCCCTTAATTTAACAACACCCCCCTTCCATGAAGCACTGTTGAATATGTTGAAAATGAAATTATTATTATTATAATAAAAATAATCACTAGAAATGCATATAAAAGATCTGTGTGAGTGTGTTATTTGTTCTATAACAGTGCCATCTGCTGGGATAAGTAAGAAAAGCAGTTTTATACAATGCTACCAGCACTGTAATAGCGTCATCTACTGGGGTAAAAAAAGAATAGCTTTTTTAAATCATGACATCTTCAACTTTTTAGAGGGGACAGTCCAAGCACCAAAATCAGGTAATTTTAATACATATGTGTGGCAGAAATGACTCTGCCACGTGTTCTTGGAGGGGCCTGCTTTTTTACAACCTCCTGCCAAAAGTCTATGGGCCCTTTAAAAACTTATGTGATTTATGCACTTTTGTACTCCATAAAGAGGCCCTAATTCCCTGGAACTGTTTTGGGTATAGGACCATGTGCACGGTCGGTCAAAATGACGACTTCCATGAAAATCCCGAACCCCTGAACCGATTTGAGTGATTTATGGATATGTTGGTCCCCAAGATCGGGGCTATCAGGGGATATGATATGTGTGGGGTTTCCATGTGTTTTAGGGGTACTTTTAGGGTGTTGTTGTATTTCCTGTTTTTCTGTGCTTGGAGATAATTGGATTAGATTAGTACAGTTCCTGATCCAAATATCTCCCAGGCACAGAGGAGGGATTATCTTATTATGTATGGGAGTGTCCTGGATCTGAGAGCCAATGTAATTGTATATTTGTTTCTACTGTGGTTTACTTTCAGGTCCCTTGCATAGGGACTTGCATATAAGGCCAGTTGTGGCTACCATTAAAGGAGTTTGTGCTTACCCTCAACATAGAGTCTCATCTGATGTTTGTAGGGAACCTCTATACTAGCTATAATCACCAGCTATTGTAAGAGCTACACTGCTATACCTGCTATAATCTCTTGGAGGAGAGGCCTTCCCACTGGGAGCTGGATCCAGGAGTTTGGTGCAGGTTGGGAAGGGACGGTGAGACCCCAGCCAAGCTGCGGTGGCTAAGAAGCTACAGTGCTTATGGTGTTCCAGTTGGGGTGCCAGGCGGTCCGCCACAGTATGTAAGAGCTCTTTGGGTTGCAACGCTCCAGCTGGGAGAAGAGATTCCAGGTGGGAATCTCTCCCCAGAAGAGTGAAGAGTGTAGTTCTAGAATCAGCTAAGATACTGCAGAGAAACCTCAGACTCCCAGGGCTCTGGTAGAGGAACCGAGAAATACACAAAAATACTCCATGGAGGGGGGAGACAGGAATTTATGTATTTATTTAAAATATTCACATTTTTATTACAGAAGGGGATTTTGGACCTAATATTGTATACTCGCAGCACTGCCAATGTTGACGTTTTCAGAAATTATTAATTAATTCCCTATTTACCACTGAGAACTTTAAACTAAAATAAAGAGCATGATTTATAAAGAATATAATAAAGAATAAGAACAAAGAATAAGAATAATATTTATAAAAAAAAATAAAAAAAAAATTTGTGCGCTACCAATCTGATTAATCTGATCTGTTTAATCTGAATCCAGTAGAAATTTGCTGTTTAATACGTATTGGAATTTCATACTTGGATGGGATTTGTACGTGGGAATGACTGATTTTACTGTTTTTCATGCAGACAGCGGATGGTAAGATTTGCTTGTTCAGTGCAATTAACTGAATTCCAGCTATATTTGCCCTTAAGAATTCTGCAATTCACAAATTTGGTTACATTTCACAATTGATCACAGAATTTTACTAAAGTGGGCTACGCTCAGCCTTCAGTAAATAACCCAGGTAAATGAGAGAATATAACAGAAAATAATGTGTTTTTTTTCTGCAGGTTGGGAAAAGGGGAAGGTAACCGGTTTAATGATTAACATTTGGTTTTGTATTTCAAGAAGAAAGTTAGATTGTGTATTTGGTTGGAGGAAGGGATTAGCTTCAAACCTTTACTTCTGCAAGCATCGATGAACAGAAAATCAACTACAAACATAACTGCACGTCAAATTCTTTGAAAATGCAGAACTTTCATTACTTCAAAAAGAAAATGAAAATACATTTTTTTTGCATGTTGAATATTTTAAAATTCCATGAAACATGCAAAGGCCTCACTTTACATATCACAAACAGAAAATAATGAAATCACCTGAGATATTTGAATAAAGTTATTTTTATCAGCTATAAGCCACTCAATAATAAATACATTGAGGGTATTTAGTAACCTGCACTCAGGAAGGCTGCTATTAAAACATAAGAATAGTCAATTGTGAAGCAGACGCCCAGGCATTAAACCCACTGAAGAACTAATGTTGCAGGCTGGCAGTGGCTAAATGTGGCACTGCAGATATTGCATTTGCCATGATACTCCAACAACTTGAGCTATATAGATTGATAACTACATTTCATATGATGCATAGTTGTGTAAATTCTAAACTGTGCTAATTCTCGGTTTGGAAAATGCCTTAAGATTTATCAGCCGTGACTTGGGGGGGAGGTGGCAACATAGGGTCACATATATGTGATGGGAACCTCTGCTTAGGGGCTTGACTGGGCCCCTGTCAGATCGGCAGAGCTGGGAGGAAGTAGGTTCTGGTCATTTCTTCCATGCTAACAGAGAGAGCCATGTGGAATGGCAGAGAAAGGATGGAGCTTGGGCGAGACTCCCTTCAGCAGCCAGATCTAGATCCCAGGGAAGCCACCCTCCTGCACACAGAAGGTATGGAAGCAGGAAGGTAGCTAAAATATGGCAATTATTACTTGTGTGTATTTGTGTCAGAATAAGTGTTTATCTGTGTGTGTCAGTGTATATGTGTCTCTGTGTCAGAATAGATGTGTGTGTGTAAGTGTGTATGTGTCAAAAACATGTGTATCTGTGTGTGTGTCAGAGTCAGAGTGTGTGTGTATCTGTGTGTGTCTGTGTGTCAGGGTTTGCCAGTGGATCCTCAGCAAGGCAAGGGGCGGTGACCTAACAAAGACAAAAAAAGATGGATAAGAAAAGCCAAATTACCGGACAATAGAGTCGCCAGGTTTAGCGTAAAGCAGGAACCAGGAAGTAACAGGACTAACTAGTCAAATAGTTCAGGCTGGAGTGGAACACCCCCAAAAAATTAAAATAAAACTGTATCAGACAAAGAAAAAATACATTCTGGCATAGGAACAAATGTATTAATTACAGGGCAAAGTCAGGATTACGGACTGGAACAGGAAAATTAACAAATCTGGTTCGATACACGAACAGGAGTCAGGATTAAGGACTGGGACAGGTACATGAACAAGCCGGGTGTGATATACAAATAGAGTAATCATAGAATCCAGATCTCATACAAAAAGACAAGAGATGAAGAATTGTCAAAGAATAAGCTGGGTCAATAACCACTGCTGTATTTGCGGCGAGGCAAACAAGGCATTTGCCTTGGGTGGCACTTTCCAGGGGGCAGCAAAAAATGCCGCCTCAAAATGCCCAGGCAAATGCCTTGTTAGCCCTGGAGAAAGGCGGCTAGCTGAGGTCCAGACAGGTGGCGAGAGAGCCGAGTGATGTAGGGAGCCGAAATATGATGTCACATGATGCCCGTCTGGACCTCAACTGGCCACCTGCCTGACTGCACGCCTGCCCAAACAGCTCAGTCAGCAGCCCCAATGGACTCCAGGTAAAAAAATCTACCCAGCTCTCCCAAAGGTAGGAAGGCTGGGTGGATATAAATTAAACTTAAAAAATTGTGTGTGTGTGTGTGTGTGTTTATGTCTGTCAGTGTGTGTGTGTGTGTGTGTGTGTGTATGTCTGTCATTGTGTGTTTATATCTATCAGTGTGTGTCTGTCAGTGTGTCTGTCAGTGAATGTGTGTATGTCTGTCAGTGTGTGTCTATGAGTGAGTGAGTGTGTGTGTGTGTGCATGTCTGTAAGTGTGTGTCTGTGAGGGAGCCTGTGTGTTTGAGTGACTGTGTATGTCTGTCAGTGTGTGTCTGTGAGTGAGTGTGTGTCTGTCAGTGAATGTGTGTTTGTGTCTGAGTGATTGTGTGTGTGTTTGTCAGTGTGTGTCTGTGAGTGTGTGTGTCTGTGAGGCAGCCTGTGTGTCTGAATGATTGTGTGTGTGTCTGTGAGTGAGTGTGTGTGTGTGTCTGTCAGTGAATGTGTGTGTGTGTCTGTCTGAGTGATTGTGTATGCTTGTCAGTGTATGTGTATCTGTGGGTGGGTGTGTGTCTGTCAGTGAATGAGTGTGTGTCTGTGTCATTGTGTGTGTATGTCAGTAATTGTGTGTGTCTGTCAGTGATTGTGTGTGTCTTTGAGTGAGTCAGTGATTGTGTGTGTCTGTCAGATTGTGTGAAATCAGTGAGTGTGTGTATGTCAGTGTATCTGAGAGTGTGTTTCTGTCAGTCAAAGTGTCTGCAATCTTTAACAGGAAGAGGTGTGGCCTTGACAGAAAGGGGTGGGACAAATGTAAATTAGGGGGAGCCCGAGTTCCGACATGCCTAGGGCAGCACAAATCCAAAATACACCACTGTCAATAACAGAAACTCAGTACAGTACAAACACACTAAAGGCTCAGGAACCTCAAAAGGATCCAGGACAGCCAGCGAGCTCTCTTTAAATAGGGAGTCCTGCACATGATTGGCTCACCTGCCTGTAAATAATCAGCAAGAAGGGCAGCACCTGGATTACCCAAAGGCACCCTACAAAATATGCAATAATTAGATGAGAAATAACCATAAACTTACTGGAATCTTCCCAGGAAAGCTGGTTCTACAGGGGCACAGCAAACAATGTGAGTCAGAAAGTGGGTAACAGGGGTTCAAGTCCCACCAGAGATAGGTTTCGTGTCAGTGTATATCCATCCCAGTATTTATGTGTGTGGCGGTCTTTGTGTAAATGTCCATACATATGCTCAGCATACAAACACACCACTGCACTCAAATTACAACACACACACCTACTCCTAAATTTAAATGCACAAACAATGCTCACACTATTGTTGTTAGGGTTGTACGACAGATAAGGATCTACTTTTCACCAGCCTTGTGCAAGAGGGGAGCCAAAACATTTCTTGCACCAGGGCCTTCTCTAGTTCTGCTACCGATCATGCCCTTTAGTTTGGCACTACTACTCTTTTAAATCTGATGTAATACATACGAGGAACAGCATAGTAACTGTTCCCTCAATAAGTATTGCAGTGGTCCAGGCTGTGGAGATGTAAAGTGAGGATGTAATTGAGAAAAAAAAGATGGTAAATGTTGGGGACTAGTTCCCAGCAGGTAACAACATCACTAGAATGATGTGTTTCTCCGAAATATGCACAAAAACTTATTTTTCTTCGTTTTCTTCGTTTTCTTACAATAAAAGTAATCCTTATATTGTAGATTGAATGCTTTCCGAATTATACACACAGTCCTCTTCACATTAAATTTAATGGTCTTCAAGATTCAAATAAAACTCACACAAATACAACTCACAAATACAAATCCTGAGTGAATCAACAGCTTGTTGTAGGAGTTGGTCCATTAAATAACATGTTGTGTTGACATAATAAGCATTTTTAGGTTAAAGTCGAGTTGGCAGTATTTTCACAAAATCCTTTTCGGCTTCTGAGTTATTACAACTCTCTATTTAATAAAATCCCTCCATGAGAACCAGTACATGAATTGCTGAACAAAAATTTACTTGGTCTTCCTTAACTCTATTTTCTGAAAGAGAATTTTTTTAACAGTCTATCTAAGCTTTACACTTCGTTTGGACAGAAGGGAGACATCATTAGAGGTAATGCTCAGAAAAACGTGAGCCTAAAATGCAAGCCTACAAAATTTTTCAAAGGTACATCCCATTAACGCTAAGGACAGATACATATATATATCATCACCTAGATTTGTGATCAGATACATTATTTATTTACTGTACAAGTCAGTTGCTGCGGCTCTTTTTTATTCAGGCATCCTGTGACTCGCACAAAGAATCTGTTTGTTTGTTTCATGTGACTCAAAAAAAAAGCCCAGAGTAAACAAAATGTGCTCTTGTACAGAACATCTTTATGCCTGACCTTCTTTAGACAACAAGTTACCCAGTAAGCTGTTTGCCCATTATTACTACATAAAATGACAGCTCCCCATCCAGCAATAGGCCGAGGCTCGTTTTCTCTTTTTATAAAACAAATTCCAGTCAATGCATATGTCGTCTGCCATTAATTATTCAGAACCCTGACACCTTCTAATTCAGAGAATTTGTAATCGAAACCTCTTTGATTATAATAACAGATGGGGGTAATAGTGACACAGTCAGCAGAAGGCGTCACGCTTCTATGAATTAGGTCAAGAACCATCAGCAGTAATTGATGAATTTCACAGTGTAAATCTGAAATATACCAATTTTAGTTTGTGTCTAAAATTAATGCCAACAGAGGCTCCTTTGTCTCTCCAAGAGAACAGTTTTTCCCCCAAAATGATTTTTTCTGTTCAATATCAGTTTCTCCTGTGACATTTCATGCCTGTTCCTCTGAAAAGCATACAGAATAATGAATGTTAAAATTCACAGGAAAGGATTCAGTGTGATAATGATCTTATTGCCAATGATGGTTTTATCAGGGTTAAATAGCATTTAATGGAACCGTCAGCAAGCTAAAAGCAATTACAAACAATTAAAAAATGAATAGAACTCTGGCACCCACAGACTATATCTGTTTTATACTAAACTTGGTGATTCGTTTTGTATCAAACTGAAATTCGGCCAAATGTGAGCCTAAATGCAGTCAAATAATGAACAAAAAGAACCACGCAATGCAGAACATGTTCGGTTTGAGGTTGTTATTCTGAATTCCAACCTTGGCACCAAAAAAAGAAACTATTGATGGGAAAAAAGATAATTGATGGTTCGGGAACAGTCACTAAATCATGAATTGATTCTCAGTTTAAGTGAGCAATTGAAGGAAAAAAAGTGGATCAGTAAAAAAAAAATCTATATGTATACAATATATACAATATGCAATATATATATATAAAAATATAGATTGTGTTTTTTTTACTGCTTCTCATTTCCCCCCCTCTATTTGTTAATTTGTTATCTCTTGATCTGTTAAACCAAGGGTTGGAAAGAGTTTATATTATTGTGCTACAATATATATATATATATATATATATATAGATATGGAAGGCTGGGCCTCAAGTTGTGAGAGGGGCCTCTGTTCCCTTCTTAAGGAGCACCAGTCCCCTCCTCACTACCGTCTCAGGTCTGGTGATTTGCATACCGTCACTTCCAGTCTGTGCAAACCGCCATTAACCGACCTTTCACCTTGTGGGAATGTGTACCTGGTCTGCAGTCCCTGATCATCCGTCTTGTTGCTTCCTGACCTGCCAGAGCCTCATCCAGAATTGGCCTCGATACTGGGATATCCGCCCCTACTCCAGTTCCTGAACTTCCGTTCCCGCGGCAAACGCGTCGTGACCCGTGTCGCAAAAAATGTAAGTCACTAGTCGCAGGCACACAGCATCACGGGTCTTTCATGGCCATATGAAGGTCAGGTTACATACTGTTGGGAGCATGTGCACGAACGCTCCGTTTCGATATACAAATTAATAACGATTGTACGGTAATTCCTGCACTGCATTTCGCATAGGTTTGGTTGTTTAAAATGTTCTGTGATATTCTCAACCTCATTAGCCATCACTAGGGCCGTTCGTATATGTTTCAACCGAAAGGGCCAATGTTAGCATTAATACACACGATTTTACGAATGGTTGTTTCTCTATAGCATTTAAGCAGTGTCGACCTGTGGTGGTTAATTTTGATAATGCACAGATAGAGTTAAGTTTTGCCACCATGTTAAATTGGTTAAAGTCATACAACACAGTACTAATTACTTGTGCTTAAGACTCATTAATAAACCTGCAATTATGTTTCCTTTTCTACGTATTTCTTTTGTACTACTCAAGTTTATCCAGGTCTCTTTTGTTCATACTATAGGTATGGTTATATCCCTACCATATTTTCTACATTACTAGGTACTAGGCCATTCAAGGCTTCCGCCAAGTCCTTTAGTGCCGGTTAAACCTTTGCTCAAGTGATATACCGGTAGCTATCTTTATAGTAATAATATGTATAGGGTACAATACGATATGAACACTACAAGCCTATCATTACTCTCATATGTATTACAAAGGTCTGCTCCAATTCCCTTCTATAAGTTCATCAGGTACGTCAGTCCCCATTTCTGATCTTACCCTCCGATTCTTTGCTGGTTTTTTGGTAGATAGGTTCATACTGGCTGATTAAGAATAGGAGGCCACTAGTTAAATTTATTTCTAGGCCTTCTATGCTTCAGCGTAGTGGTCACGCGAGGCCAGCACCCATCCTCACTCGGAGGTACGTTTACCCATCGGGCCAAATCATAGTCAGTCGCCTCGCTTAGTGGCATAGAGAGGGCTTCACTTGTCACACCCATTTTATCTAATGCTCTTTAAGTCATCGAGAGGCCGTCACCCTGCTACAACATTCTGTGGCCACAATGCCAATCGTGCCAACTCATTGATAGAGCCTCTCAAGTAGCTTGGCAATTAGCTGGGTGTCACCTGTCATCTGTCATTTCTTCTTAGGTAACGTTTCACCGCTTGGTGTAAGAGAAGATCGGCGTAACCTCCTAATTTTTATTATAGTATGTCACAACTACCAGAGGGCGGGGAAGAACTATCGATCCCCAGTACGCCAGCCAGATCGTACAGCCAAGTGGGTGACACCGCAAGTCCGTTATCCCTCAGATCCTGGACCATTCCAAGGATCACTGCAGAGCTACACAAGAGAAACATCCTCTATCCGGCTACAGCTAGGAAAGCGGAATTGTACAAACTATTAAATACCCAGACTGACTACGACTGGGCAGGAGAGGGATCTAGTAGCGGCCAGTCTACTGACCTACAGGCTGTTTTGTCATCAGTTCTATCCTCTTTGGGTCGGATTAATAACAAACTGGATAGGATGGACTCCAAACAAGTTCTCTATCAGCGCCAGTTATCCCTGACTCGGCCATTCTCCCCAGCACCCTATCGGGTAATACCCCAATTGGCCTGAAAAACCCACACATTATTAATCTAGCACACATGGTGCCAGCCAATATTAAAAAGGACATCTTGGAGGAAAAGGATGGAAACCTGGTCTCGATCCTTATTGCCTGACAAGATGTCCTGGAAAAAAAGACATACGCATATGGCGACGTGTCGGTAGTTTTAAAACCTAGAGATACCAGACTGAATCATAAATTGTCTATCCCTGAGTTTGTGCTAGCATTTGGGATTTATAGGGACGTGGTGTGTTCAGTATACCCTGACAGAAGGGAAGAATTTGACCTTTACCTCCACAAGCTGGTGGACTTGGGGCACAAATAAATTATACCCAAAGCCTTACCTATCGACTGTCAATATCTCATTGCTACAGGAATTGTTGTACAACCACCCCTTAACACATCTGGTAGAATTTCTGGTGGCTGTGTTTACGGAAGGATTTCACACGGGTATCATTTTTATGCCATCACGGATAGTTGAATGCAAGAACTTACAGACAGCTCTTGCTAACACTGTCAATGAGTTGCTACAGAAGGAAGTAGATCAAGGTTTTGTACTAGGTCCTTTCAGCTCTCCACCTTTCTCGATATTGAGGACCAATCCCATAGGTATAGTTACTGGTAAGACCTCTAATAAACAAAGGCTCATCATTGAGCTCTCTGCTCCTCACGCTACAACAACACCTAGTCTTAGCTCGCTCATTCTATCTGAGGAATTTTCGCTACAATACGCTACCATTGACAATGCTATAGAAGCCATCCTGTCAGCAGGAGTTGGAGCCTGGCTTAGCAAGACAGACATAGTCAACACTTTCAAACTCCTCCCTATTCACCCTTCCCTGTGGCATCTAAATGATGTTAAGTGGCAGGCATCATACTATTTCTTCACACGATCTTTGATATGTTCGCTGAGACATTGTGTTGGATACTGCTTAAAATCTGTAGATGCCCTACAGTAATTTAACAGACAAATCCTTTTCAGTCTGGATGGATGCCGCTGTCACATCTTGTTTTGCCGCCATATTCGGTAACATGTGGATGTGGGGTAACTGGCCAGATGAAATTAAGGATGTCCAGGAGTTCACTACCACCTCAGCCTTGTTTAAACTTTATCCGATAGTGGCCTCCACAGTCATATGGGGCACATGCTGGTCAGGTAATATGGTACGTTGTTTTTCCAACAACATGGCAACGTGCCATATTGTTAAGAAAGGACGGTCCCTGACCATCATGTGTTTCATGAGGAAGTTGACATGGCTGGCGGCTAAGCATGAATTTTTCCTGACATTTATACTTATTCCGGGGGTCCTGAATATCGCAGCTGATCATTTGTCTCGATATCAATTTCAGGAGTTCCGGACAGCATTGCCAACAGCAGACTAAGTAGCCACTCTGGCTCCACAGTGGCAGGACATGGTTATGGATTAGATAATTTACTTGCTCACGGGCGTCACCTCTCACACCTAGGTCTTTCTGCAAACACAAGGAAATCCTATGATAGGGCTTTTTACATTTTCAATAGATTTTTGCTGGAGTTTCACATCACGGACAAGTTCTCCATGGGAACATTGGTAGCGTTCATCTCTTTTTCCACCTGCACCTAAAGCTATCCTTCAACACCATTACATTATACATTATACAACACTACATCCTCACCACATGGCCTGATAAACAACACTTCTTGTCATCCTATCAGGTTAAAGCCATATTAAAAGGTATGAAAGACTCCTCACCTATATCTACACCTTCCACGATCACATGTTCCAATCACTTTCAGATCTCCTAGATGCATCACCATGCGAGACCCAAACAAATCACGGCCATCTATTTAGCATTCTTTGGCTTTCTCTGACCTAGAGAATTCACCAACACTAACTCAGCTAACTTCGTCACCAAAGCACAACTGGTAAAAGCACACAACCACTACATACTTTCACTAAAACACATAAAACCTGGTGGAAAGGGTCAGGCAGTAAAAATCACATATTACCCACAGGCAATCAATGGTGCTCCGTCATAGTCTTGGACCATTACCTTTCCTACAATCAAAATACCCCTAATCAACCACTTCTGGCTTCACACGGGAAAACACTCACCACTAGCAGGTTCATGCTGTATGTGTTAGAATGTTACTGGTACGGTTAGGTGTTAACCCGGCTAATTACTCAGGTCATTCATTCCGTATTGGGGCAGCCACCATGGCTTCCAAAAGAAATATTCCCGTACACATCATCAAAACCTTAGGTAGATGGAAATCCAATGCCTACACTAGATACCGACCTCAACCTACACAAGAGATATTAAGCATTCTGGAACATGTTAATGTGATGTATCCCTGTTGTATTTGTAGGCCGAATAAATTTTGTTATGATATCTCTTTTTGCCATCTTTATTTCAGGCCTACCACATTGTCGGTTCTGGCACACCACAACCAACTTTTGTTTCATTCCTGTGTGTCTTATTCCCTAAACTCTACGGCTTTTGAGGCCCTGAACACAAATAGAAAGGCTGGGCGTAATATATATATATATATATATATATATATATATATTTATATTAATATTATGTATATAGTTTACAGGTCACTGTTTGACATATTTTTGCTCCCTTTCTTGTTCTGATTCAAATTCTGAATTGGAATATCTGTTGAGCCGGACTGACATTCGGCTGAAATTCGGGCGTCTCAAAAGTCTATTTTATATTTACTGCTCAAGATTCTCAAAAAATGCATTATAGACAGGGTTTCTTCCGATTGACTTCTTTATCACCAACAAAAAAAACCCACAATCTTCACAAATTTATGAATGTGTGTTCATTTATTCTTTGTATAAATAAGGAGTTTCTGACCCAAGAAAACAACGTCCCCCTTTTTTTTTCTCATGAAACATCTTTGCATGTTGTTTGTCACATCACCCCCATTTCCTTAATGGCAAATATGCCTCGTTATGCAGCATTTGTTCAGGTCCATTCTAAACATTAAGTGTATTTAAACTAACATTTCATGATTAAAAAACAGAAGAAAATAGTCAACTATTTGTTCATAATTTTAAAAGAAACTTTCTAGATACCCTTTCTACATGTACGTATGCTAGTTTCATTGTTGGACTTTTCTAGTAGAGGTCGATGTAAGATAGTGAATGAATATTTATTTGAAATGATGAAGAAAAGAAATTATAAAAACTCTATTAATAAATTTCTCTTTGGAATCCCACATGGAATAACGGTCAAATGGATTTAAAATCTCTGGATAAGCTAACTATAATTAATCTTGACATAATTAAAAACAAAACAACCATGACTAATGAATCAATTAAACAGTTATTAATTTGAATTTAATTTAAGGAGATGTGCAAAAGAATCCAATTTTGATGGAAGTTAAAACTATGGTAGATGGCCTGACTATCAAAGTCAGTTTTAACCTCCAGCAACACAAACAGAAAATTAAAAAACAAACATAGAGATTCACAGAGGGAGACAGAGACCACACTTTTACTGGAACAATTAATTTAGAATTTTAAATTCACTGCAAATTCATCAGTGTTTTAATTACATGTCCTGCTATTCATTAACACCGAAAACTGCTCACAAATAAGTTCAGAAAATACTTTCCTAATTTTACAGCTAATTTATAAATTATATTCTATCAAACATTTTGCTACATTGCAATCACTTTTTCAAAGTCCAGCTCTGAAACTGTTAAGAAAATATTCCTTACAACAATCACACCCCTCTGTTCGTATTGAGTTACCTTCATGCCTGGTCATATCGATTATCTTGTAAAATGGTCTCTTTTATTACAGGTTGATGGAATTCTGTGTTTAACGGACATTCTCACCGATGAAGCCCAAAGTGAAGCTTGCAGAGCGGAAGCTGCGGCTGTGGTAGCGCAGATCACATCTCCACACCTCACATTTACTCAACATCTCAGCAGCTTCATTGAGAATATGGAGGAATTGGTCACTGCTCTGTTAAGTGAGTGAAGGGGCATATACGAAGATACCGGACCGGGAGTGTGTTTCAGGATAAGGGAAATCATGAAGAAGAGGTCAGAGAATAGGGAGCAGATACAAATCATAAATGATGGAGGAAAGATAAGTGCAAGAAAAATAATCTTAATGCAATGAGGAGAAGTGTAGAACATTATTATTAATATTATTATTGATAAAGCACCAACAAATTCCGCAGAGATGTGCAACTAACAAACACGTGTTTGCAACAAGGCATGTTAGATGTATAGGAACAGAAGGTTCTGAGGGCCCTGCTCAAACCAGCTTGCACTCTAAGGGGAGTAGTTGAAAGTGACACAAGAGGTATGGGTACAATGCATTTTATGTACTGGAACAGTAAATTGCTAGAAGTATACAATGAATGCAAAGTTTTCCAAAAAAGAGGCAGTTGCAGAAGAGAAGGTGGGTTGTTGAGGTGTGGGGAGGGGATTGACATGCTTTCTAGAAGAAGTGAAATATCAGAGATTTATTGAAGCATAGAGACTGCGTGAGTGTCTAATGGAATGGTGCATCCTTAGAGACGTCTTTAAAATTAGACTCAGAGGTGCGAGTACGAACAGGGGATAGATGCAGGTCTTCAGCACAACAATGGGTGTGAACATGTAGAGACAATAGTTTGAAAGCAAAGAGTTCATGATGCTACATGATATTCTTAGAATAGAAGAGTAGGGCTGGGTAGCTGACAAGTGTATGATGGGACACTTGGCAAGGGTTTGGTGGAGCAGTTTGCAGGGTGTGGTGAAGGAGTTGTCCAGGGTGTGATGGAGTAGTAGGACAGAGTGTGATGAAACAATTGGGCAGTATGCTATTGAACATTTGGGAAGTATGTGATAGAACAGTTGGACAGTATGCTGTAGAACAGTTGCGCAGTATGCAATGGAACAGTTGGGTAGTATGTGATGGAACAGTTAAGCAGTATGAAATGGAACAGTTGGGCAGTCTGCTATGGAACAGTTGGGCAGTGTGTGTTGGAACATTTGTGCAGTATGCTATGGAACAGTTTGGAAGTATGTGATTCAATAGTTGGGTAGTATGCGATGGAACAGTTAGACAGATTGTTATGAAACAGTTGGGCAGTATGTGATGGAACATTTGGGCAGTATGTTATGGAACATTTGGGCAGTATGTTATGCTAGTTGGGCAGTGTGCGATGTAATAGTTGGGTAGTATGCGATGGAACAGTTGGGTAGTATGCTATGGAACAGTTGGGTTGTTAGCGATGGAACAGTTGGGCAGATTGCTTTGGAACAGTGGGGCAGGGCTTGATGGAGGAATCGGACTGAGCAGGCTGTGAAGGATGAATTGGTTAGTGTAAAAGAGAATTGTAGTATGGATTGGTTAAATAGGTGGAAATAAAGAGGCATAGATATAGGAATAATGAAGACATAACAAGTATAACAGTTTTTCCAGGAAGGTAGGGGGTATAGAGTATGGAGCTGCATTGTATGGAACAGTGAGACTGTAAGCATTGATGATTAGAGATGACAAGGATTTTAGAAACAAAGCAAATGATGTGAGTTGGTAAGAAAGGATAGATAGAATGGAATAAAAGGAGGACAAACGGCAAATAAATACCAAAGAAAAATGTGGGAAAAGTTGTATGCCAATTCTGGCCATATAATTGAAGATTATGCTAGCGTTAGTGTACTTATAATCTTAATTTTAATAACGACAGGAGGCAAGTATTTTGCATTACTCTCTTTACTAAACTCCACAGCAGTAAAGAAAGTGAAACATTTAACCAATCAAAAATGCAGTAGGGAGTATGATATTCCCAGGGCCGTCTTTAACGCGGGGCAAACGGGGCAGCTGCCCCGGGCCCAGTTTCTCTTGGGGGGCCCAAGGCACCTGCCCCGTGGGCCCCGCTGACCCCGGAGGGCGGGTGGCCGGTCGGGCAGGAAGGCGGGTGCGCGAGGGAGCACTCACTGCTTCCTCTTCAGCTCCCTCGCGCACCGCACTGATGCCGGAGCCGGAAGATGACGTCATCTTCCGGCGCCGGCATCCCTACGCGGCGCGCGATGGAGCTGAAGAGGAAGCAGTGAGTGCTCCCTCGCGCGCCCGCCTTCCTGCCCGACCGGCCACCCGCCCAGGAGCCCCACTGGACCCCAGGGAATCCCCCCAGCACTCCAAAAGGTAAGGAGGCTGGGGGGATTATATTTAAAAAAAAAAAAATGTGTGTTTGTGTGTATGTGTGTGTTAGTGTATGTGTTTGTGTGTGTGTGTATTTGTGTGTTAGTGTATGTGTGTTAGTGTATGTGTGTGTTAGTGTATGTATGTGTGTGTTTGTGTGTTAGTGTGTCTGTTTGTGTGTTAGTGTATGTGTGTGTTAGTGTATGTGTGTGTTAGTGTATGTGTGTGTGTCAGCATGTCTGTGTCATGTCTGTGTGTGTGTCAGTATGTCTGTCTGTCTGTGTGTCAGTATATATGTGTGTGTATATCTGTGTGTGTCAGTATGTGTATGTGTCAGTATGTCTGTCAGTGCGTCAGTATGTCTGTTAGTGCATGTGTATGCATGTGTCAGTATATCTGTCTGTGTGCCAGTATGTCTGTGTGTGTGTGTGTCAGTATATCAGTCTGTGTGTGTCAGTGTATGTGCCTGTGTGTGTGTGTCAGTATTTCTCAGTGTATGTGGGTGTCAGTATATCTGTCAGTGTGTGGGTGTCAGTATTTCTGTCAGTGTATGTGTGTCAGTATGTTGATCAGTGTATGTGTCTGTGTGTGTGTGTCAGTATGTCGGTATATGTGTCTGTGTGTCAGTATGTTTGTATATGTGCCTGTGTCAGTATGTCTGTCAGTACGTCTACCAGTGTATGTGTCTGTGTGTGTGTCAATATATGTACCTGTGTCAGTGTGTCTGTCAGTGTATGTGCCTGTTTATCTGTATGTAGTCAGTGTATGTATCTGTGTATCTGCTTGTGCGTCAGAGTGTGTACCTGTGCATCTGAGCCGCAACTTTAAATACAAATACACCCCTCCATTCAAACTTCAACACTACATATAAAACACACTCCTGCATTGAAACGTCAACACTACATACAAGCACACTCCTACATTCAAAAACAAACACTACACATAAATGCACACTTGCATTCAAACTCTAGTACCACATACAAACACATTCACACAAATATACTCCATACAAACACATGCTTACATTCAAACATACTAACATGGCTCAGTGCTAAATACAACCCTGCAAGCATGGGAAATTGGTAGAGTCCCAGCTGTCAAAGCATTGTTGGAGTTGCACGACAGATGGGGTTCTACCTTTAGTCCAACCTTGCAATTGGGGGTCCCAATAAAATTCATTCTACTTTAGTACCGCCACTGCGTTGGGATGGATGCCGTGATTGCATACCAGGGAGTGAGGGGCGAGAGCGGCAGGGCACAGGGGGCCCAAGCAAACACTTGACCAGGGTCCATTCGTTATTAAAGACGGCCCTGGATATTCCCAGTCAATAGGCTCCTCCCCCTCTTTTGGAAGCGACATCGTAATCAGGGAAGAAGTTCAAGATATAGAGTCTGTAACCAGCACCAACTGATGAAAATTCCAATAGAACGATGGTCTTGAGGAAGATCAGTAACAAATATCAACGGTTGAAAGTCCAACAGGGACGATGGTCTTCATGGGTTGAGCAGTAATCTGCAGTTTCCTGCAGTTATTCCATGCTCTCGTGAAATTACACTGAAAGAGAATGTGAAATGGGTTAGGCACTGATCTCCAAACTGGTTGTAGCAATGATAGCGGCCCCTGGCTTAATAATACAATATTCTTATTTACTGGTTGGCTATACCATGACAAACTCTAACCATAGTTAAGTGTGGTGGTAACCTAGACACATATTGTCTCGAATAGAGCTAGATATCAGGAAAAAACGTGAATAATATAGTGATTCAGAGATTCCCCTCTTCCCTGGGTGGGAAAGGGTGGGAAAATACTTGTCTCCTGTCATTATTAAAATTAAGATTATAAGTACACTAACGCTAGCATAATCTTCAGTTTTATCACATGACAGGAGGCTTCCTATTTTGCTTTTTTTAACGCTGTTGTATGAGTGACATAGCCGCACCGAAGTTCGGGCGGAAGTAGAAAGTGCGGAACGTTGATTCTCTTGACCAGTCTGCTGAATGTAGGATATCTGATAGCGAGGTGCCCACCGCGAAGGCCGAGGACGCCGCCACGCCGCGTACCGAGTGTGCCCCGAAGGAAGCATCTACGCCTGCTAAAGACAGTATCCAACGAACCCATCTGGCGAGGGTGGTCGTTGAAATGGGAACGTGTGGTCTAACATATGATACCAGGAGTTGGCCTGAGGACGGGGTCCGAATTGGTAATGTAACTTCCACGTATCGTCGTAGGGTGGAGATGACGCAGAGTTGTGGATCTGAGGTGAAGAAGTGGTAGAAAACCGACGTAGAGTCCGATTTTGTGCGACGGGATACCCGGAACGTGACTCCCTCCGGAGATACTGAAAATGCCTGAACATCCGAAACTAGGCAAAGCAGAACCGTGAGTTTTGCTGAGAGTTGTCGAAAGGACAGTCTGTCTTTCGACGGCCAGTCTCTCAGAAAGCAGAGAACCACATCTACGTCCCAGAGTCGTGAATATTTGGGGCCTGGGGGTCGTTGCAGTCAGATGTCCTTTAGGAGTCGACACACCAATGGGTCTTTCCCTACCGGGATCCCTAATATAGCTACGTTAAGTGATCTGTATGATCAACCAGTCAAGAAGAGGTGAGATAGAAAGTTTCAAACGGCTGGAATAGTGGCTGTAAATGGATGCACCAAGTGGACCAGGAATTCCAAGCAGATAGGTAGCATCTTCTGGTTCCTGGAGCACATGATACCCATATGAGGTCCCTAGCAACCTGCGATAGTTCCCCGACTTGCCAGGCACCCCTGAAAGAGTCCAAGCCACCAGGGTGAGTCGATTGTCTAGTATCAGTGGGTGAGGATTGCCTTTCAGATCCGTGAGGAGGTATGGATGGTGAGGCAGTAAGAGAGGATCCCTGTATGATAGTGCCAGGAGATCCGGGAACCATGGTTGTCCCCTCCATAAAGGAATGATGAGCAATAAAGAGACTTGTTGACTTTTCAGGTAGTGGATGGTCCTTGCTATCATGGCAAAGGGAGGGAAGGCGTAAACTCCCGTGTTTGGCCACGGTTGTAGGAATGCATCTACTGCTTTGCTCTCCAAATCTGGGAGCCAGCTGAAGTACACTCGTGTTTGCCTGTTGTTGCGTGACCGCTTTGCTCTCCAAATCTGGGAGCCAGCTGAAGTACACTCGTGTTTGCCTGTTGTTGCGTGACGCAAACAGATCCAGGTGAAATGGGCCCCGGAGTTCCGTTATGTGGTTGAAGATCCGTGGATCCAGTGTCCAATCGCTTGTGTCTCACCAGTGGAGTGAGAACCAGTCTGCCGTGAGGTTCGTCTCCCCTGGGAGGTATTCCGCTTTGAGGGAGATGTTGCGAGGTAGACAGAAATCAAAAATCTCTTTCGCCTAGGCAGTTGATGTAGCGGACTGCTGAGATGTTGTCCATCCTGAGTCTTTTGCCAGGCTGTGGAATGGCGAAGGATCCTGCCAGAAGCTCTAAGCAATTTATGTGCATGTTGAGGTCCTGGGAGGTCCAGGCGGCCTCCTGTTGAAGTGTCTTTGCTTGTCTCGCCCCATCCCCAGAGGCTGGCGTCCGATTCCAGGACTATGTCGGGTGTGTTGCCGAAAATGGCTCGACCGTTCCATGCCTCCATGCTGTCTAGCCACCATCTGAGTTCGTCTCTGACTTCCTCCGTTATGGGGATCAGTTGGTCGTAAGAGGGATTTTGTCTGAGGCAGGATGCATTGAGTCGTTGCATCGCCCTGTAGTGGAGTGGACCGGGGAAGATAGCTTGTATGGAAGCCGAGAGGAGTCCCACCAGTCGGGCAAGGGCGCAGAGTGGAATGGTGTGGCACCGCATGGCCCTGCGTAGTTCTTTGCGAATGGTAGTCGTAGCATGCTGGTGGTGGTGTCTATCTTAAATCCTAAAAATTGCACTGTTTGAGATGGATGGATGGATGGCTGACTTTTGGAAGTTCACGACGAAGCCCAGGGATGATAGGAGATCCATGGTATATTGTGTTTGCCGTACCAGTCTGGACCTGTTGGAGCAGAACAGTAGGAGGTCGTCCAGGTATATAATGCAGCGAATTCCTTGTGTTCGAAGATGAGCAACCACGGGCTTCAGTAATTTGGTGAAGCACCATGGGGCCGAACTGAGGCCAAAGGGAAGGCATGTGAACTGCCAGGGAAGGTCTTGCCAGAGGAAACGTAGTAATTGTCGACAGGAGTGGTTGACGGGTACTAATAGATATGCATCCTTTAGGTCTAGCCTTGTGAACCAATCTTTGTCTTGTAATAGGTCCTTCAGAAGATGTATGCCTTCCATCTTGAAGTGCCTGTATGTGACGTATTAGTTGAGTCGTCTCAAGTTGATGATGTGTCGAAATTCTCCCATTTTCTTCTTCACCAAGAATATGTTGCTGAAGAATCCTTCGGGGCCGGAGGCAGGTTCGATTGCCCCTTTCGAGTATAGTTCTTGCAACTCGTTGTGTATGAGGGTACGGTCTTCAGTAGAACAGCTGATGGGGTGTGGGTCCCTTTGACGTGGATGGTCTACAAAGTCGATGATGTAGCCCTGTATCGTTTGTAGGACCAATGCGTCTGTGGAGATGGTCGTCCATTCCTGAAAAAACAGAGAGATGCAACCTGATGTACGCAGTGGGAGGGAAAAATGTGTTAGATGGTTGCTTACCGGTAGAGAATTGTGCTCTGCCTCGGGTACGCGGTCCTCGACCTCTGTCTGCACCTTGGGTGTAGGAGAATGGTTGACGATATCCCACTTCTGGGTAGAAAGGCTGGGGCCTTGAAGTGCGGGGGCCTGAGGGCCAGAAATGGCTGGCAGCACGGCCCCTTTGGTGGCCAGCCCATCCAAAAACACCTATGGTGGGGTTGTGTCTGAAGACTCTCCTCATCGAGCATTGAGCCTTATTCAGAGAAGTAAATATGTTTACGTGCCTGTTTAACTCTTTAACCCCTTAAGGACCAAACTTCTGGAATAAAAGGGAATCATGACATGTCACACATGTCATGTGTTCTTAAGGGGTTAAGGAAAGGGTCTCTGAATAGTTTGCCCTGTGCCAACGGACCTAATTCTTTGGTCCCAAATTCCACCAATTTTCCGTCAAGACGGAGTAGTGCTGCTTTGCGCCACTCGGATGAGAGGGCGACATTTGCGTTACCCACAAAGCAGAAACATCATTGTGCCCACACCGGCACATCATGAGCCCATTCGCACACCACGGTTGTGTCAAATTGGTTTGCTCTGGCAAGGGCATTGTCAGCTACATACATGATTCTGGCTAGTGGTCCCACTGAGTCCAGTAGTTTATCCTGTACCCCTCTGAAACCCTTTTCCACCCCTTTATGGGGGTCGCAGCCCCTTCGAGACATAAAGGTGGTCATCACCTGATCGAACTCGGGTTTTTCTGTTACATGATCAAGTAGCTAGGGTAGTGGGCATTCTGACCGCAGCCCGTTGCGAACGGTCTTGTCTAAGGATTTTCGTAGCCAGAGATGCATACATTTTGCGAGATGATCCGGGGGTGTCCAGTCCCCTGAGCGTGGATGTCGTATGTTTCTCGGGTCAAAGAGTCTGTGGCTCGATTGATCAAAGATGGCGTCTTCGTCCTCTTGCGGGGCTTCCACGGAATCAGGGTCTATGGAGTCTCCCTGCAAGTTGTTTTGTAAAAAAACAGGTTGGGGTTCAGAGTCTGAGCCCCATGCGTCATCCTCTGAGTCTGACCAATCTGCTTGCCATTCATCCAGGACAGCCATGGATTTTGTGCGGGTGTCATCTTCATCCAAGGAGTCTTCGTGTTGTACTGTTGTGGTGGTGACCATTGAGGGTTTGTGACGTTTGGCAGGGGTCTTACCCTTGGTCGGGTTCTGGAGCCCATTTTCCCCATTCCAGTGACGTTTGCCAGTGGGGGTTTCTTGGCTCATGTGAGATTCTGGGGCTTCAGAATCTGAGTCGTTGTGGGATTGGTGGGATTTTGATGGTTTCCTCTTATCAGAGTTAGAGGCCATCATTTTGGAGAGGGCCTTCTCCATGGAGGCGGCTACGGCCTCATTTATCATAGCTTGGAAGTCTGTCATTTGAGAGGCTTCCATCTTGTCAATTGGTAATATATATATATATATATATATATATATATATATATATAGGTGTGGCACAGGGCAGAGGTCAGTGAAGCTGGATCTGTAACCCCAATTCTAAAGAAGCCCAATCTTGACTGTAACTCCCCATCCAACTATCGTCCTATCTTGCTACTGCCTTTTGCATCCAAGATCCTTGAAAAAATTGTGTATGCGAGATTGACAGACTTCCTCGAGTCCAACTCTCTGCTAGACCCGCTTCAGTCTGGTTTCCGCGCTAAGCACTCTGTGTAAACGGCACTGACCAAAGTATCCAATGATCTACTCGCTGTAAAATCTCGTGGTCACTACTCTATCCTAATTCTCCTTGACCTGTCTGCGGCTTTTGACACTGTTGATCATCAACAGCTTCTTCTCATCCTCCGCAATATCGGTCTACAAGATACTGCTCTCTCCTGGTGCTCCTCCTACCTCTCCCAGCGCTCTTTCAGTGTTTCTTTCTCTGGCTCTGCTTCTTCTCCCCAACTCCTCTCTGTTGGTGTCCCCCAAGGTTCAGTCCTTGGTCCCCTACTGTTCTCCATCTATACTGCCTCCCTTGGTAAACTCATTAGCTCCTTTGGCTTCCAATATCATTTCTATGCAGATGACACCCAAATCTACCTGTCCTCTCCTGATCTCTCCCCGTCCCTCTTGACTAGTGTCTCTGACTGCCTCTCTACTGTTTCTAACTGGATGGCTGCCCACTTCCTTAAACTAAACTTGACCAAAACTGAAATTCTGGTCTTTCCTCCCTCAAGTGTTGTTACTCCTGTGTCTGTCTCCCTCCAAGTCAACGGTGCTACCATCAGCTCCACCATGCAGGCTCGCTGCCTAGGTGTTCTCTTTGACTCCGACCTCTCCTTCAAGCCTCATGTTCAATCTATTGCCAAATCCTGTCATTTCCATCTAAAAAACATTGTGCGCATCCGCCCCTACTTAACGCCAGATGCGACTAAGGTGTTGGTCCATTCCACTGTACTTTCTCACCTTGACTACTGTGATCCGCTTCTCAGTGGTCTTACGTGCTCCCAACTAGCGCCGTTACAGTCCATAATGAATTTGGCGGCAAGGCTCATCATCCTGTCCGCCCGCACCTCCAATACCTCACCCTTCTGTCAATCCCTACATTGGCCACCAGGGTGAGTCGATTGTCTAGTATCAGTGGGTGAGGATTGCCTTTCAGATCCGTGAGGAGGTATGGATGGTGAGGCAGTAAGAGAGGATCCCTGTATGATAGTGCCAGGAGATCCGGGAACCATGGTTGTCCCCTCCATAAAGGAATGATGAGCAATAAAGAGACTTGTTGACTTTTCAGGTAGTGGATGGTCCTTGCTATCATGGCAAAGGGAGGGAAGGCGTAAACTCCCGTGTTTGGCCACGGTTGTAGGAATGCATCTACTGCTTTGCTCTCCAAATCTGGGAGCCAGCTGAAGTACACTCGTGTTTGCCTGTTGTTGCGTGACCGCTTTGCTCTCCAAATCTGGGAGCCAGCTGAAGTACACTCGTGTTTGCCTGTTGTTGCGTGACGCAAACAGATCCAGGTGAAATGGGCCCCGGAGTTCCGTTATGTGGTTGAAGATCCGTGGATCCAGTGTCCAATCGCTTGTGTCTCACCAGTGGAGTGAGAACCAGTCTGCCGTGAGGTTCGTCTCCCCTGGGAGGTATTCCGCTTTGAGGGAGATGTTGCGAGGTAGACAGAAATCAAAAATCTCTTTCGCCTAGGCAGTTGATGTAGCGGACTGCTGAGATGTTGTCCATCCTGAGTCTTTTGCCAGGCTGTGGAATGGCGAAGGATCCTGCCAGAAGCTCTAAGCAATTTATGTGCATGTTGAGGTCCTGGGAGGTCCAGGCGGCCTCCTGTTGAAGTGTCTTTGCTTGTCTCGCCCCATCCCCAGAGGCTGGCGTCCGATTCCAGGACTATGTCGGGTGTGTTGCCGAAAATGGCTCGACCGTTCCATGCCTCCATGCTGTCTAGCCACCATCTGAGTTCGTCTCTGACTTCCTCCGTTATGGGGATCAGTTGGTCGTAAGAGGGATTTTGTCTGAGGCAGGATGCATTGAGTCGTTGCATCGCCCTGTAGTGGAGTGGACCGGGGAAGATAGCTTGTATGGAAGCCGAGAGGAGTCCCACCAGTCGGGCAAGGGCGCAGAGTGGAATGGTGTGGCACCGCATGGCCCTGCGTAGTTCTTTGCGAATGGTAGTCGTAGCATGCTGGTGGTGGTGTCTATCTTAAATCCTAAAAATTGCACTGTTTGAGATGGATGGATGGATGGCTGACTTTTGGAAGTTCACGACGAAGCCCAGGGATGATAGGAGATCCATGGTATATTGTGTTTGCCGTACCAGTCTGGACCTGTTGGAGCAGAACAGTAGGAGGTCGTCCAGGTATATAATGCAGCGAATTCCTTGTGTTCGAAGATGAGCAACCACGGGCTTCAGTAATTTGGTGAAGCACCATGGGGCCGAACTGAGGCCAAAGGGAAGGCATGTGAACTGCCAGGGAAGGTCTTGCCAGAGGAAACGTAGTAATTGTCGACAGGAGTGGTTGACGGGTACTAATAGATATGCATCCTTTAGGTCTAGCCTTGTGAACCAATCTTTGTCTTGTAATAGGTCCTTCAGAAGATGTATGCCTTCCATCTTGAAGTGCCTGTATGTGACGTATTAGTTGAGTCGTCTCAAGTTGATGATGTGTCGAAATTCTCCCATTTTCTTCTTCACCAAGAATATGTTGCTGAAGAATCCTTCGGGGCCGGAGGCAGGTTCGATTGCCCCTTTCGAGTATAGTTCTTGCAACTCGTTGTGTATGAGGGTACGGTCTTCAGTAGAACAGCTGATGGGGTGTGGGTCCCTTTGACGTGGATGGTCTACAAAGTCGATGATGTAGCCCTGTATCGTTTGTAGGACCAATGCGTCTGTGGAGATGGTCGTCCATTCCTGAAAAAACAGAGAGATGCAACCTGATGTACGCAGTGGGAGGGAAAAATGTGTTAGATGGTTGCTTACCGGTAGAGAATTGTGCTCTGCCTCGGGTACGCGGTCCTCGACCTCTGTCTGCACCTTGGGTGTAGGAGAATGGTTGACGATATCCCACTTCTGGGTAGAAAGGCTGGGGCCTTGAAGTGCGGGGGCCTGAGGGCCAGAAATGGCTGGCAGCACGGCCCCTTTGGTGGCCAGCCCATCCAAAAACACCTATGGTGGGGTTGTGTCTGAAGACTCTCCTCATCGAGCATTGAGCCTTATTCAGAGAAGTAAATATGTTTACGTGCCTGTTTAACTCTTTAACCCCTTAAGGACCAAACTTCTGGAATAAAAGGGAATCATGACATGTCACACATGTCATGTGTTCTTAAGGGGTTAAGGAAAGGGTCTCTGAATAGTTTGCCCTGTGCCAACGGACCTAATTCTTTGGTCCCAAATTCCACCAATTTTCCGTCAAGACGGAGTAGTGCTGCTTTGCGCCACTCGGATGAGAGGGCGACATTTGCGTTACCCACAAAGCAGAAACATCATTGTGCCCACACCGGCACATCATGAGCCCATTCGCACACCACGGTTGTGTCAAATTGGTTTGCTCTGGCAAGGGCATTGTCAGCTACATACATGATTCTGGCTAGTGGTCCCACTGAGTCCAGTAGTTTATCCTGTACCCCTCTGAAACCCTTTTCCACCCCTTTATGGGGGTCGCAGCCCCTTCGAGACATAAAGGTGGTCATCACCTGATCGAACTCGGGTTTTTCTGTTACATGATCAAGTAGCTAGGGTAGTGGGCATTCTGACCGCAGCCCGTTGCGAACGGTCTTGTCTAAGGATTTTCGTAGCCAGAGATGCATACATTTTGCGAGATGATCCGGGGGTGTCCAGTCCCCTGAGCGTGGATGTCGTATGTTTCTCGGGTCAAAGAGTCTGTGGCTCGATTGATCAAAGATGGCGTCTTCGTCCTCTTGCGGGGCTTCCACGGAATCAGGGTCTATGGAGTCTCCCTGCAAGTTGTTTTGTAAAAAAACAGGTTGGGGTTCAGAGTCTGAGCCCCATGCGTCATCCTCTGAGTCTGACCAATCTGCTTGCCATTCATCCAGGACAGCCATGGATTTTGTGCGGGTGTCATCTTCATCCAAGGAGTCTTCGTGTTGTACTGTTGTGGTGGTGACCATTGAGGGTTTGTGACGTTTGGCAGGGGTCTTACCCTTGGTCGGGTTCTGGAGCCCATTTTCCCCATTCCAGTGACGTTTGCCAGTGGGGGTTTCTTGGCTCATGTGAGATTCTGGGGCTTCAGAATCTGAGTCGTTGTGGGATTGGTGGGATTTTGATGGTTTCCTCTTATCAGAGTTAGAGGCCATCATTTTGGAGAGGGCCTTCTCCATGGAGGCGGCTACGGCCTCATTTATCATAGCTTGGAAGTCTGTCATTTGAGAGGCTTCCATCTTGTCAATTGGTAATATATATATATATATATATATATATATATATATATATAGGTGTGGCACAGGGCAGAGGTCAGTGAAGCTGGATCTGTAACCCCAATTCTAAAGAAGCCCAATCTTGACTGTAACTCCCCATCCAACTATCGTCCTATCTTGCTACTGCCTTTTGCATCCAAGATCCTTGAAAAAATTGTGTATGCGAGATTGACAGACTTCCTCGAGTCCAACTCTCTGCTAGACCCAGCTTCAGTCTGGTTTCCGCGCTAAGCACTCTGTGGAAACGGCACTGACCAAAGTATCCAATGATCTACTCGCTGCAAAATCTCGTGGTCACTACTCTATTCTAATTCTCCTTGACCTGTCTGCGGCTTTTGACACTGTTGATCATCAACAGCTTCTTCTCATCCTCCGCAATATCGGTCTACAAGATACTGCTCTCTCCTGGTGCTCCTCCTACCTCTCCCAGCGCTCTTTCAGTGTTTCTTTCTCTGGCTCTGCTTCTTCTCCCCAACTCCTCTCTGTTGGTGTCCCCCAAGGTTCAGTCCTTGGTCCCCTACTGTTCTCCATCTATACTGCCTCCCTTGGTAAACTCATTAGCTCCTTTGGCTTCCAATATCATTTCTATGCAGATGACACGCAAATCTACCTGTCTTCTCCTGATCTCTCCCCGTCCCTCTTGACTAGTGTCTCTGACTGCCTCTCTACTGTTTCTAACTGGATGGCTGCCCACTTCCTTAAACTAAACTTGACCAAAACTGAAATTCTGGTCTTTCCTCCCTCAAGTGTTGTTACTCCTGTGTCTGTCTCCCTCCAAGTCAACGGTGCTACCATCAGCTCCACCATGCAGGCTCACTGCCTAGGTGTTCTCTTTGACTCCGACCTCTCCTTCAAGCCTCATGTTCAATCTATTGCCAAATCCTGTCATTTCCATCTAAAAAACATTGTGCGCATCCGCCCCTACTTAACGCCAGATGCGACTAAGGTGTTGGTCCATTCCACTGTCCTTTCTCACCTTGACTACTGTGATCCGCTTCTCAGTGGTCTTACGTGCTCCCAACTAGCGCCGTTACAGTCCATAATGAATTTGGCGGCAAGGCTCATCATCCTGTCCGCCCGCACCTCCAATACCTCACCCTTCTGTCAATCCCTACATTGGCTTCCTATAAAATATAGAGCTCAATTTAAAATTTTGGTTCTTGCTTTCAAATCTCTACATAATCCTGCTCCCACCTATCTATCCTCCCTTATACACAAGTATGTCCCGTCTAGGCCCTTACGATCTGCTGAAGACTTACGTCTATCTTCTGTCCGTACTCCCACATCTGATGCTCGCCTTCAAGATTTCTCAAGGGCTGCACCGTTCTTATCGAACTCGCTTCCCTCCTCCGTTAAATGCTCACCCAGTCTCTACTCTACTTCAAAAAATCATTAAAAACCCACTTCTTCATAAAAGCGTATCCATTAAACTGTTAATAGCTCCTGACTGATTCCTCTTCTGCAACTGTCATTAGTCTAATACTATCCTTACCTTTTTGTGTCATTTTACCCCAGTCCCTCTAGCATGTAAGCTCATTGAGCAGGGCCCTCAATCCCTCTGTTCCTGTGTGTCCAACTTGTCTGGTTACAACTACATGTCTGTTCGTCCACCCATTGTAAAGCGCTCCGGAATTTGACGGCGCTCTATAAATATCATAATAATAATAATAATAATAATATGAAGTCACTGTAGTGACTAGCAGGGCAGCAGGGTGTTATATTAACGTGTGGATCGTGGAAAAACACGTAGAAATTATAACCCTAGCAGGGTATGTTATATGCAGTACCCCAGCAGGGTATCTTTGTGGTTATAGTGATGGTATAGAACCCCAGCAGGGTTTATATAGTGAGAAATGTAAAACCCCAGCAGGGTATATACAGCAAGTGTTTGGCACTAGCAGTGTCAGTTTGCCCCAGCAGGGCAGGAGAAAACCACAGTTTTGGGTCTTTTAAGTATATATAGAACTGGGCCTCACCCAGGGAAAACAGAGGTGGCCACAGGGCGACCTCCAGCAGCAGCACATAGAGGAGCAGCACCCCAGCAAGGCACAGGTTAATAAAAACCTTGTGCTAGATACAGCTTAAATATGTGTAAATAACTGACCTCTAGATTCCGATTAGTTGGAGAAACCATTTTTTTCAGTAAAACGGAGCTGAGTACCGCCGTGTGTGACAGGCACTCGCAGGCGTTCCAAAATGGCAGTCATAGTCTTGCGATATGCGCGAACAAAGATGGCCGCCACGTGCGCTGAAAAGTGCATGTAATGGAAGCGGGGGTAGGGAGAACTGATTCTGAGAGCCGTCGAGAGATGGCGGAACCGGGATGTGAGGTGAGATATCAGCGGTATTAGAAACCGTCTGGATAGAGAGGGTCCGCTCGAGGGTGGACAAATGAAAGTGGAAAAAATGATAAAGACAAACAAATACTAATAGTTATTGGCTGACTAAATAATTGACAAAATTGGTAAACATAAGATGGAAATCAGTGTAAGTACTGATGGCTAAATAAATATACACAGGAGTGTATGTGAAAATAGAGAAAGGATTATTAGATGAAAAAATAATATACAAAGAAATTTACAAAACTAATAAGTACTATATGAAACATTAAATAATCACAGGAGTAATTACTTAATAAAATGCTTGACAAATGCTAATAAAGGGAAGAGCCAAAAACTCTGACCTGTCTGCGATGGAGCAGTAAAGAAAGAGGGGGAGGAGCCTATTTACTGGGAATATCATACTCCCTACTGCATTTTTGATTGGTTAAATGTTTCACTTTCATTACTGCTGTGGAGTTTAGTAAAGAGAGTTATGCAAAATAGGAAGCCTCCTTTCATGTGATAAAATTCAGATTCAGCAATGTTTTAATCAACTACTGATTTACATTTCCCAAATCTTTGCTGTTTACTGTTTACAATTTGCTTGTAGTTTTAATGTCTTTTTAGGGTGTTTCTTGTATTCGTTAATATATTTTTAATATAGGGCAAGTGTGAGTCACATTGCAAGAAGGATGAGTGAAAAAAAAAAAAAAAACACAGACAAGAAATAAAACCAAACAAAACAACCACATATACATCTAATAATAATAATTGATAACAATGTTATTTCATTAGAAGGTAGTCATTCATCCTGCTGATTATTAAAACCTCCCTAATCGTAGCTCCAGACTATTTTTTGAATAATTTGTCATGGATCTTAACCCTTTGCGTATTGGATAGATGCTCAAAGAGTTAACGTAGCTGAAACCTTACAAAAGGTGGCATTATTGTGCCACCTTAGCGTTTCCTATCCAAGACTTGTTAAGATACAAAATAAACATAAATAAACTACTGACACTAAGCTAGTTGTGAAAATAACATTGGCTTTACTCAAAGTATACAGCTTTAGGGAAAGTTCTGGCAAAAAAAATCAAAGTTGCCTACATTTATGGTGTTAGCAAATGTTTGTAAATTTAATAGTCAATTTCAGTGAAACAGAGAGTCATTTGTGTGTCTAATCTGTAATCATACGCTGCTAGAAGAGGAATTATGGTCCCTTTATGCATTCAGCTTGAATTGCAGCATATTATGTTTGTATAAGGCCTCGCTAGTTCTAGTTAAAGACTCTAAACACAAGTCCTATTTTTCAGGAAGAAAATCTCGGGAGTCCATACTGTATCAAAAAACAGTATTGTTCTACGTTTAAAAACATTGGCCTGGTCTTCTTTTTTTTTAGTTTGATGGAATTAAAAAAAAATAATACGGCTGTTCCATTAATGGGGAAACAAATTGCTTACTTTTTTATACAAAAGGCAACATATTTCTCAGCCTCATTTAATAGGAGTGCAAATGTCAAAAACATGCAAATTAGTTAAATAAAATGCAGAAAAAGCAAACAGTTTAGTCTTATATAATTTTACAATTTAATAATATAATTAAAAAAAAATGTGACATTACAATTTTACAATTATGCTTACTAAAGGTTGAATGCAAATATCATATTTCAGCTTATTTAAATCTATTAGGGAAAGACATTTAGATTATTTGCAAATTAAATAAGTCTGCTATTCACTCATTTTTAACCAAAATAAATCCAGCTAAAAAGACAGTACGGGGCCACAGAAACCAAGGAAATGTAGTGGTTTGGCAAATATTGCAATGTGTATGCGATGCATATATATTGTGAAGATTGTTACATTTATTTGTTTTGTGTATGTTGCGATGTGAAGATCATTACATTAATGGTTGGACGTATTGCATTTTAAAGATTGTTATATTTAATGGTTTGGTGTATGTTGCGATGTGAAGATCGTTTCATTAATGGTTTGGTGTATGTTGCGATGGAGATTGTTACATTAATGGTTTAATGTATATTGCGATATGAATAGTGTTACATTTCACATGTTTTATTTCCCAGAGTTAAGCCAGGAAGCCTCATCCGCAGAAGTTTTCCTGCTTGCGTCAGCTGCGTTGGCTAACATAACGTTTCTCGATACGCTGTCCTGTGAAATGCTACTTCAAATGGATGCCATAAAAATCCTCATGACTGCTTGTTTGGACAAACAGAGGGTTAATTCATCTTATGCCAGAGATCAAGTAAGTCAGTCATGCTTCATTTTATAAAAATAACAATACATACATAATATAATAATATTACTGTGTGGATATGTATACCTTGTGAGTGGGGGATTGATTTAGTTTAATTGTGGCATTATCCTATTTTATTGGTGTGTGGCATTGTCTTATTTTATCGGTATGAGGCATTGTGTTATTTTATCAGAGTGTGGCATTGTGTTATTTTATTGGTGTGGAAAGTTGTGGGCAGTGTGTTACATTATTGGTGTGTAATGTTGTGAGCAGTGTTTTATATTATTGGTGTGTGGGGATGTGGGTATTGTGTTATATTATTGGTGTGTGGGAATGTGGGTATTGTGTTATATTGTTGGTGTGTGGGAATGTTGGGTATTGTGTTATATTATTGGTGTGTGGGAATGTGGGTATTGTGTTATATTGTTGGTGTGTGGGAATGTGGGTATTGTGTTATATTGTTGGTGTGTGGGAATGTGGGTATTGTGTATTATTGGTGTTATATTGTGTATTAGTGTGTGGGAATGTGGGGTGTTATATTGTTGGTGTGTGGGTGTTATATTGTTGGTGTGTGGGAATGTGGGTATTGTGTTATGGGAATTGTTGGTGTGTGGGAATGTGGGTATTGTGTTATATTATTGGTGTGTGGGAATGTTGGTATTGTGTTATATTATTAGTGTGTGGGAATGTGGGTATTGTGTTATATTGTTGGTGTGTGGGTATTATGTTATATTGTTGGTGTGTGGGAATGTGGGTATTGTGTTATATTATTGGTGTGTGGGAATGTGGGTATTGTGTTATATTATTGGTGTGTGGGAATGTGGGTATTGTGTTATATTATTGGTGTGTGGGAATGTGGGTATTGTGTTATATTGTTGGTGTGTGGGAATGTGGGTATTGTGTTATATTGTTGGTGTGTGGGGAATGTGTGTATTGTGTTATAGCATTGTGTGTGGGAATGTGGGTATTGTGTTATATTGTTGGTGTGTGGGGATGTGGGTATTGTGTTATATTATTGGTGTGTGGGAATGTGGGTATTGTGTTATATTGTTGGTGTGTGGGAATGTTGGTATTGTGTTATATTATTGGTGTGTGGGAATGTGGGTATTGTGTTATATTGTTGGTGTGTGGGAATGTTGGTATTGTGTTATATTATTAGTGTGTGGGAATGTGGGTATTTTGTTATAGTATTAGTGTGTGGGAATGTGGGTATTGTGTTATATTGTTGGTGTGTGGGAATGTGGGTATTGTGTTATATTGTTGGTGTGTGGGAATGTGGGTATTGTGTTATATTATTGGTGTCTGGGAATGTTGGTATTGTGTTATATTATTAGTGTGTGGGAATGTGGGTAATGTGTTATATTGTTGGTGTGTGGGTATTATGTTATATTGTTGGTGTGTGGGTATTGTGTTATATTATTGGTGTGTGGGAATGTGGGTATTTTGTTATAGTATTAGTGTGTGGGAATGTGGGTAATGTGTTATATTGTTGGTATGTAGGGAATGTGGGTATTGTGTTATATTATTGGTGTGTGGGAATGTGGGTATTGTGTTATATTGTTGGTGTGTGGGAATGTGGGTATTGTGTTATATTGTTGGTGTGTGGGGAATGTGTGTATTGTGTTATAGCATTGTGTGTGGGAATGTGGGTATTGTGTTATATTGTTGGTGTGTGGGGATGTGGGTATTGTGTTATATTATTGGTGTGTGGGAATGTGGGTATTGTGTTATATTGTTGGTGTGGGTATTTGTTATATTATTGGTGTGTGGGAATGTGGGTATTGTGTTATATTATTGGTGTGTGGGAATGTGGGTATTGTGTTATATTGTTGGTGTGTGGGAATGTTGGTATTGTGTTATATTATTAGTGTGTGGGAATGTGGGTATTTTGTTATAGTATTAGTGTGTGGGAATGTGGGTATTGTGTTATATTGTTGGTGTGTGGGAATGTGGGTATTGTGTTATATTGTTGGTGTGTGGGAATGTGGGTATTGTGTTATATTATTGGTGTCTGGGAATGTTGGTATTGTGTTATATTATTAGTGTGTGGGAATGTGGGTAATGTGTTATATTGTTGGTGTGTGGGTATTATGTTATATTGTTGGTGTGTGGGTATTGTGTTATATTATTGGTGTGTGGGAATGTGGGTATTTTGTTATAGTATTAGTGTGTGGGAATGTGGGTAATGTGTTATATTGTTGGTATGTAGGGAATGTGGGTATTGTGTTATATTATTGGTGTGTGGGAATGTGGGTATTGTGTTATATTATTGGTGTGTGGGAATGTGGGTATTGTGTTATATTATTGGTGTGTGGGAATGTGGGTATTGTGTTATATTGTTGGTGTGTGGGAATGTGGGTATTGTGTTATATTATTGGTGTGTGGGAATGTGGGCAATGTGTTATATTGTTGGTGTGGGTATTATGTTATATTATTGGTGTGTGGGAATGTGGGTATTGTGTTATATTATTGGTGTGTGGGAATGTGGGTATTGTGTTATATTGTTGGTGTGTGGGGAATGTGTGTATTGTGTTATAGCATTGTGTGTGGGAATGTGGGTATTGTGTTATATTGTTGGTGTGTGGGAATGTGGGTATTGTGTTATATTATTGGTGTGTGGGAATGTGGGTATTGTGTTATAGTATTGGTGTGTGGGAATGTGGGTATTGTGTTATATTACTGGTGTGTTGGGATGTGGGTACTGTGTAATAGTATTGGTGTGTTGGAATGTGGGGACTGTGTAATAGTATTGGTGTGTGGGATTGTAGGTATTGTATGATATGGTATTGGTGTGTGGGAATGTGGATATTTTGCTATATTGTTGGTGTGTGGGGAATGTGGGTATTGTGTTATAGCATTGTGTGTGGGAATGTGGGTATTTTGCTATATTGTTGGTGTGTGGGGAATGTGGGTATTGTGTTATAGCATTGTGTGTGGGAATGTGGGTATTGTGTTATATTACTAGTTTGTTGGAATGTGGGTATTGTGTTATAGTATTGGTGTGTGGGAATGTGGGTATTGTGTTATATCAGTGGTGTGTGGGAATGTGGGTATTGTGTTATATCAGTGGTGTGTGGGAATGTGGGTATTGTGTTATATTATTGGTGTGCTGGAATGTGGGTACTGCGTAATAGTATTGGTGTGTTGGAATGTGGGGACTGTGTAATAGTATTGGTGTGTGGGATTGTAGGTATTGTATGATATGGTATTGGTGTGTGGGAATGTCAGTATTGTGTTATATTAGTGGTGTGTGGTAATATGGGTAGGGCATTATGTAATAGCTGAGGCACATTCTGGTGTAGGAACATTGTTGCACTAGAGTGTTAAGTTTTATTGACAAATGTTCTTATACGCCTTGATTTTTTTTTTTTTATTGAATACATTTTTCAAATGATTTATTATTTTTGGATACATTTTTAAAATGATTTAATATTTTGAAAAATATTTTTTTAAAAATCATATTTAGATTTTTCAATATATATATATTTATTGATTTATTATTTTATTTTTTATTTTAATAGTTTGAAAAAGATTTTAAAAGTTTATCTTAACATATGAAATAATTTAAACAAATTATCCAAAAATATTAAGTCAAAGCCAGAGTAATATTGCACCCGCCACCTTATAAATCAAATGGTGCAGACATTTATACCATCTGAATAAAAAACAACAATGACAATTTGCAAAACACAGAGTAGACGTGCACTCTCCAAAAGTAATACAAGTATATAATCAAATGGTTGATACTTATATATGTACACAACACAGATGGCAGGCGAATATCCGCAATGGCTAAAAAAGAACAATATAATACATAGTGTGTACTGTAGGATAAAAGTGAGTAATATATAATAAATGGTTACACTCACAAATTCCAGAGCCGTATCAGGCTCTGTAAAGTAAGCCCAATGGTGCCTGTACAGGCTAGCGGTGAATACCCATGGACCACTGTAGCAGATGGATCACGGAAGTAAGGATAGCAGCAGCAGTAAATTAAAAATGCTAAGATTTATTATAGTGATAAAACACTAGATAGTTAAAATGAAAACAAGGACCTATCTGACATTTATACAATCTGCTCTTGAGGGATTGGGGCTACTTATGGTCACATGGAAATGGGAAACGCGATCAGTTACAATCCAAATAATATGAGATGGCCCTGGATCTATGTAGTAGTGGTTTGCTAACCAGGCTATTTACCACGTTCCAATCAGGAGTCTGATACTAACCCGCAAACACCCTCAGATAATTATTGGAGCACTTGATATGTTGGGGTCCTCGGTGCACACATAGCTAACGAAAAAAAATACAAAATAAAATAATTTCATTGGCATGACTGGATAACATTCAATTCCTTCCTCCTTTAAGACGCAGATCTGGGAAGCACTATGGCTGGTCCTGGAGTTTTCTGTCCCCATTTTCCACCCTTCATCCACTTTGGATGCATCAACAAGTGTAGCAAGACTCTCAGATACTGTAGCAAGCTCGTTAAATAAATATTCCTATCATCTCCTGGCTATGGCACAAATTCAGGGAAGAGGGCAGCGAGCATTGCTCTTGGCATTATCCTTTAAGAAGGGGTCTGCATCTACGTGTAGCATAATATGCTCAATGCCAGCATTTCAGATCTTCAGGGGAAATACTATTCTCTAATTGGGCCTTGTCAACCACTTCCGAGAAAGATCCCTGATTGCGAGTGAGATTCAGCTATTTGATGATGAAGGGGAGAGGATGACCCATAGTGTCTTACAGAGGGTCGGAGTTAAATAAACTAAATATTATTGTGCACTAAGCTTCCATCCCCTACTCAGTATTACTAAAAATGATCAGAAAGCCAGACAAACCCGAAATGTTAAGATAATGTTAGAAAATGACTTACTTTTCCCCAACTTGTAACTCGTCACATTGAGTTTTACTGCTAAAAGATAATGAAATCAGGGCTCAATCTCTATTCCTCCAAGGAGTCATTCCTGTATACTATAATTAGAAAGATGTAATTGAAAACATTTATGATAACCTGCAATCACATTTATATATATATTTTTGCATTTGAAATTTGATGAATGCTTTCAGTCATCAGAGAACCGAACCATGGTTTAGCGTGGATGATTGAGGCTGTTGCATCTAGTTAGCAGGGATACCCAGTGGAATTTGACATTTTATTGGGCTAACTGGTATTTCTGAAGTAAGAGAGGACACGACTCACACACCGTAACATAATAATTTTATATTGATGTATGTTTTTTTAGATGATAGAAATAAATTTGTACATACCTTTTATATATATATTGTGGCTTTTATCACCATATGTTTTAGACACATTTAACAGAAGGGAAAATTGAAATTGTAAACAATAATAAAAAAAAAAATGTATAAGTCCAATATTCCATGTGAGGTGGTGTTAAATAAAGACAGTTTACAGCATCCAAAATCTGGTATTATTTCATGGCAAACGTTTATTTTTCTTACACACCTCCCAAATGTCCCTATTTCAGAAGACATTTCCTATTTTAGGCCAAAACCCTGATGCCCCCCTTTTGCTCTACTAAAGGAGCTCCATATTGTTGGTGTATCTGTGTGTACAACAAAGCTCCACAGCAATAATACTCCCAGTAATGTGCCTGAGTGTATCACAGAACTCCACAGCAACAATACTCCCAGTAATGTGCCTGAGTGTATCACAGAACTCCACAGCAACAATACTCCCAGTAATGTGCCTGAGTGTATCACAGAACTCCACAGCAACAATACTCCCAGTAATGTGTCTTTAAACTACAATAAATGTGTTTAGAAATCAGTCTGTGGAAATAAGATACATTCTTCTTGTTATAAATTACATTTTAGTTCTATAAATTATTAGTCACCTAAAATTTCTCAGAACACCTCTGGCCACACCCTCTCTAACACCTTTAAAATGAAAGGGTCCATTTTTGTCTGTGTGAAATGTTGGGAGATGTTATTATTAGAACGAAACATTTAGCATCATAAAATGATAATATAATGATTTTTGTTTGTTTGTTTCTTTTTTCCAATTACCTTTTTATGCATATTATAAGCAAAAGAAAACATTAATTCCCAATTGATGAATGTGTCTTGAATCTTGTTAATTTTCTTTAATTGACGTTTTTCACTTTAGCTCTCTATAAATCTCTTCTGATTTTATTAACCTTAGCATAATTTAATGAATTTTCTAATAAAAATCACTAAATGTCAGAAAGTGAGCTGTTTATAGTGTGGACTACAAAGTGTGACCTTAAGGGCAAGCTGATTTATACCATGACATACCTTGTTGCCAGCTGAGATGTTGCCCTTAGCAGCTAAACTGCCAACACTCCACTAAATGTGCTATAACTTACCTCGTCCGGCTACAATTACTCCTGTAAAAAGTTCCATTTTAGATCTTGGACTCGGTCAGTAACGAGGAATTTTACCATGGAGACAGAAAGACTACAACTCACCTCTCAATGGCACAGGGAAAATTCTCATTATATTTAAATTGTGTTTTGCTCTGGACATATTAAATGAAGTGCAGGCTTTGCAAGGGTTTCATTTCTTTGAAAATCGCCACATTTTCCCAGAACCACTGTGCATTGTTTGTTATGCACTAAATTCCCATGATTACTCAAGGCATATCACGTTGAGATTTTAATGAATGGTAATTTGATTTCATGCTAAGTTAATTCTAGCAGGAAAGAGTGTTTGTTTCGAAACAAAAGATGTAGCCAGTGGGTTATTCTGTTATATTTACTTGGTATATTCTTGCAGAGGTGCAAGTTTGAAATAAGCAGGTACATGCGCGCGAAATTCATGTGATTGGCTTTTCTCAAGTTGATGGCTGGCTGTTAATAATTTATGGCTCTTAATGTACTGACGAGATTAGGGAATTATAAAATGTCCTCAACTTTTTAATAAGCAGTTCTTTAATCCGTTCAAAGCATTTCTCTTCCTATACACCCCGCTGTCTTCCAACTTTTTATTCAATCCTAAAAACAAAGGCAAATTAAACTCGATAATGCACAAACTAGTTTTTGTTTATTAATAACATGCTTTTTCTTCCTTTTTAATGACATTGTATAAAGGGTATTTAATCTAACTGCTGTTAGAAAAATATCTATCAGTCATGTAAGTGTTAATAACTCATTTATATCAAAAAAAAATTCACATAACCTCTCAATATCGTAACAAAGACACTGTGAACCCAAACCTATTTTTTTTTTTTACAGTGTTCATTGTCTGCAGTGATACAGACAGGTATTACAAGTTTAATCTCAAAAGGTTTTAAATATAGTTGATGTAAATTGAGATAATTCATTCATTAAAGTAAATTGGCTAAATTCACTGTGAGCAGGTCTTGTGGTTTCTCAATCATGCATAGGGCATCATCTTATGACAAAATTAACTGATTTACATGCCATATCATTAGCCCACCTCACCCCATCCAAGAATAAAACAGATTGTCATGGGATTAGTCTAAATCTGGGATACAGGTGTACTGGCCACCTCGTCTTTGCATAGAGTATACATAACACCTCCTGCCTGTATAATACAAATATTTAATAATTTATATGTTGTGTAATAACATATGGGCAATAGGAAAGAGAGCAAGATCTAACCACATTATTAGAAAAAATGTGTTTATTACATTTTATGTACATCGTATTATAGAATCTATTTATTACTTTCCTGTACAGATTGTGACAATTTTAGCCAACATGTCAATTTTGGATCAGTGTGCATCTGAAATCGTTCTAGAAAATGGTGAGTATGTACAACTGGCATGATTTGCTTTCTGAAACTTTTGGTGAGAATACATTTTTCCATTTACTAAGAAACAGTTTACGAAACCGTAACTTGAAGAAACAGTAGAAAAGAAAGTCCTGTTCGAGATATTTTTTTGGCTTGAAATTTGAAAGCTAATTCTAAGCACCAAATAATTCCTCGGAAAAATATTGTATCCTTCTGCCTTTATAGTAGTAGTATGCTTTGAGTGTCCGGGCGCTATTCAGAGTCAATAATAATAATAGCCATCTAATAACTAATATTGTTACTTTAGTGAAAAGCCACAGAAAGCAATCTATAAATCATGCTCTTCCATAAACCAGTTATTGGTTATTAAGGTACACCTGCCAAGCCAAAAATGAGTCAGTGTCACTTTGATAAGAATACGTTCAAAGGGACACTATAGACACCAGAACACCCACAGCTTAATGTAGTTGTTCTGATAAATACAGCCTGTCCCTGCAGGCTTTTTAATGTAAATGCTGCCTTTTCAGAGAAAAGGCCGCGTTTACCATAAAGGGGAAAAAAGTGTTTGATCCCCTGCTGATTTTGAACGTTTGTCCACTGACAAAGAAATGATCAGCCTATAATCTTAATGGTAGGTGTATTTTAACAGTGAGAGACAGAATAACAAAAAGAAAAAACAGAAAAATGCATGCCAAAAAAGTTATAAATTGATTTGTATGTCAATGAGTGAAATAAGTATTTGTTCCCCTATCGATCAGCAAGATTTTTGGCTCCCAGGTGTCTTTTATACAGGTAACGAGCTGAGATTAGGAGCACTCCCTTTAAGAGAGTGCTCCTAATCTCAGCTCGTTACCTGTATAAAAGACACCTGTCCACAGAAGCAATCAATCAATCAATCAGATTCCAAACTCTCCACCATGGCCAAGACCAAAGAGCTGTCCAAGGATGTCAGGGACAAGATTGTAGACCTACACAAGGCTGGAATAGGCTACAAGACCATCACCAAGCAGCTTGGTGACAGGGTGACAACATTTGGTGCGATTATTTGCAAATGGAAGAAACACAAAATAACTGTCAGTCTCCCTCAGTCTGGTGCTCCATGTAAGATCTCACCTCGTGAAGATTCAATCATCATGAGAACGTTGAGGAATCAGCCCAGAACTACACAGGAGAATCCTGTTAATGATTTCACGGCAGCTGGCATCATAGTCACCAAGAAAACAACTGGTAACACACTATGCCATGAAGGACTGGAATCCTGCAGCGCCTGCAAGGTTTCCTTGCTCAAGAAAGCACATATACAGGCCCGTCTGAAGTTTTCCAATGTGTTGTGGTCAGATGAGACCAAAATCTAGCTATTTAGCATCAACTCAACTCGCCGTGTTTGGAGGAGGAGGAATGCTGCCTTTGACCCCAATAACACTAACCCCACTGTCAAACATGGAGGTGGAAACATTACGCTTTGAGGGTGTTTTTCTGCTAAGGGGACAGGATAACTGCAACGCATCAAAGGGACAATGGATGGGGACATGTACCATCAAATCTTGGGTGAGAACCTCCTTCCCACAGCCAAGGCATTGAAAATGGGTCGTGGATGGATATTGCAGCATGACAATGACCCAAAACACACAGCCAAGCCAAAAAAGATGAGGCTCAAGAAGAAGCACATTAAGGTCCTGCAGTGGCTTAGACAGGCTCCAGACCGTAATCCCATAGAAAATCTGTGCAGGGAGCTGAAGGTTCGAGTTGCCAAACATCAGCCTTGAAACCTTAATGACTTGGAGAGGAACTGCAAAGAGGAGTGCGATAAAATCCCTCCTCAGATGTTTGCAAACCTGGAGTCCAACTACAAGAAACGTCTGATCTCTGTGATTGCCGACAAGGGTTTTGCCAACAAGTACTAAGTCAAAGGGGTCAAATACTTATTTCACTCATTGACATGCAAATCAATTTATAACTTTTTTTCTGGATTTTTTTTTTGTTATTCTGTCTCTCACTGTTAAAATACACCTACCATTAAAATTATAGACTGATAAATCATCAGGGGATCAAATGTGTTTTTCCCTTACTGTACATTACTGCCTAGGAACACCTCCAGTGGCAGTCACTCAGACGGCCAGCACGGTGTTTCGCAGTGCATGTGCAATAGCCTCATAAAGCATTGATAATCTCAGTCAAGGGGGTGGAGCCAACCAAAATGAGACCCTGTATGGCGCTGGAAAACGGTGAGTAAATTACCATTTTACTGCAGGGAGAGCGGGGTCTGAAACCTAAACGACAATCTTAGAGCTATAGTGTCTGGATTGGATGTTTGTATTCCTGACACTATAGTGTTCCCTTAATCTATAGCCTGTGCAGCCACAATACTAACTGATGTGGGGATGAAGAGTTACTTAATATTTTATGGAGTTTGTCCCTAGTGGGCTATATGGCTGTTCCATTAACATAAAGGCTGAATATAAGGGTGTAGCAAATGGTGAGAGCTGTAACTCTGTCCTTCAAATGATGAGGTCACACTGTACATCTCGTAGTCTGTGCCTGCATAAGGGCTGGAGATATGTTTTCACAATGGTTCTATCCAGTCAGGAACACCATGCTCTGTATGAAAGAAGTCTAGCGGAGCCAGAGATCTCACCAACATAACCTATAGTTATATCTGTACCTACCTAAAAAGAGCATGATTTGCGGAAGACAAGTTTACTTGAATTTTTTTTTTAAATAATATTTTTTAGCATATCTTCCTTCTTTTCTAGTGAACACAACCCATTATTTTAATTTGTTACTATCCCAATCTATTAGTGAAGAATCAGAGACATAATTATTTATCGCTTTATTTTGCTCATGAAAATAAACATTTTATTTCAAAATACAGCATCGTAAAATTCCCAAAGTAAGCTGCCATTACAGCAATGAATGTTCTGTATTTAGTAACAGGTTGTAATATAATGAAACGGTTTCAGTTTATTTTAATGGTGATTTTCTGAAGGTGTACGGATTCTGATTGAGATGCTATTTGAGAAGTCATCTACGGGAATTTTGGCAGATATCTCGGCGTGTGAGCGCGTTCAACAAAAATCTGCGGTCACACTTGCACGTCTAAGCCGTGATCCCGAATTTGCACAGGCGGCAGTAAAGTATAATTGTAAGTTCATGATGCATTATTAATTTATTTAACACCTTATAAAGAGTAATCTTTGCATATGCAATGATACACCCGTGTCATTAACATCTTTGGAAACACCCGTTAATGTGTTGCCTTCTTTTCTTCTTTAAATATATTTATTCAGGATGAATTGTAAGTGTTACAGTGAATGATATCAACAAAATGACTCTAATTGCTGGGTTTTTACATTTTAGATTTACAGAAAACAGTAAATACCAACAAAACCTACAGTTAATGAAACATGTTAGTGTGGGTGTCATTATTCGTCGCCCTGTTACCACAGGGTAAATGTAGGAAAATGGTCTGCAGTCCACAAAATCCAACATATGGTGATACCAAAAGACATTTTCAAATTTAACCCCTTTACTGCCAAGCATGCATTAAAATTGGATTTATTTAAAACATAAGATATATACTTTGCATATACATTAAGCATGACACTGAAATATTGTACACAAACTAGTGCTCAGGGATACGTAAAAGATCCAATTATGTAAATGTACATAATTTTAACTAAAAAAGAATTAATTAATCGGGTAATGTCTTATCCTAGCATGTTTGCGATTGCATAAAAATTGATGCAAGATACATTTAAAGAAAACTATAATGCCAGGAAAACAAACTCGTTTTCCTGGCACTATAGCTTACCCTTCTGTCAAGTGCTCCCCCCTCCCCTCTCGTAGTGCAAAATGGGTTAATAAGCCCTTCTGTCACTTACCTGGGTCCAGTGCCGATGTTCCTCGGCACTGGTTTGGTCAGGCTTCACTCCTCCACCGCCGACGTCAGCCAGCGGGGGAGACCTAATGCACATGCGCGGCAATGGCTGTGCTCGCATAAGGATTTCCCCATAGGAAAGCATTATTCAATGCTTACTACGGCGATACTGGTGACGCTGCAAGTCCTCATGCAGATCGTGAGGAGGTCCAGTGTCATTTAAGCGACCAAAAGTCACCTTAAAATCCGGAAGTGCCTCTAGTGGCTGTCTGTTAGACAGCCACTAGAGGAGGAGTTAACCCTAGCAGGTAATTATTGCAGTTTCTAAAAACTGCAATAATCACATGCTCAGAGTTAAGGGTGATGGGACACTGCATCCAGACCCCTTCAATGAGCTGAAGTGGTCTAGGTGCTTACAGTGTCCCTTTAAAGGAACAGCGCACACAGAAAACTAAATATACTGTTTACAATTTTACAAGGCTACTTCAAATCACCTATCTGAGCAAACATATAGGGGGATTCAGTTCCATCATATGGCCATATTGTGTTAAGTCCACCACTCCGACACAGTACCCCAATATCGGAGGGTCCTACACTAATTTTAACACGGGAGATTTACATGCTAACTTGCAATACTTACAGCTCCAACTGCTTCCAGAAACTCTGGAAATGTATGCTTTCCTGTGGGAACTGTATTTTGTAAATATCCCAATAATGGTGCAGGTTAAAGGAGTATAATGGCAATTAGAGTGGGTGGTTCTAGTAATTCAGAGCTGATAATAGAGATAATAGATAATTTCACAAGACCTGGGGCAAGTAAGACATACATTTCTGTAAACTAGTAGAATAATTAGATAGAACTCAATACTCAACCTTTGTCTTTATCCCCATCAAAGCAGAACTGGTTTAACCTTAAATCCCAGGCTGTGTGGGGCTGCGAACATCCACTGCAGTTCCAACAATGAATTGCAGACATGATACAGAGAAAAGAGAAGAAGGTTAATATAGTGTAGTAGTGTGAATTGCAGTTGGGCTGATGAACAATGTAATTTCTTTCTCCAGGCATTCCGCGTCTTATCGAGCTTTGCCGATGTCCAGATGAGAGACACAGCAGTGAGGCCGTGCTTGTAGCTTGTCTGGTAGGTTTGTTCTTAACTTTCCCCATTTATTTTCAGGTAAAACTTTTTCATGAACACATTTTCTACAAAGTTAAAGTATCATGATTTTTAGCATAATTTAATTATTTGTCATAGTTTGGCTAAAATATATTTTATTTCGTTATACGCAGTGTGTCCTACATATTGTATATTATTTTATTTTTAAAAGTGTGCACTATTGCATAAATGTGTGGAATATTTTAAATATATATATATATATATATATATATATATATATATATATTATACTTCCTGTCAGTATTATTAGAATTTTATACAACTACTTCTGAGCAACTTGATTGATGGCTGAGGATAGCCTGAAGTCAGCCAACTGTCAAGTCCCATGTTCAGAAAATTAGCTAATTTTCTGACTGGGCCTTAAACATCCATAAATAATTTATATAATTCCCTTCTGTGGCGGACCGTCTGGTACCCCGAATAGGTACCTCCACCAAGCACACTCCCTAGCTATTGCCAGGACACCAGCAGCACTCCAGCCCCTTGCCGCTGCAGCTTGGCCGGGGTCTCGCCGTCCCTTCCCACCATGGAACAAGGTACTGGATCCAGCTTCTAGTGATTAAAGCTCTCCTGCAGAGAGCATAGCTGTATAGCTGATACACCCAAACACTAGTCGAGACTGAGTGAAGGGTGTATAGGAGCTGGTTTATTATGGCCAAGTTTCCTGCTTTTATACATAGCCCCCAGCATGGGGTCTCCATGAAATGCAAGACAAGCCCCTCCCATAAATCTCTGTGCCTGGGAGTGTCACGTATTCATCCGCTTATAAAAATGGGGTTAATGGCATTTACTGTCCACACGGGGAAAAGTTGTGCCGAGCAGCAACCAGATCCAAAGAAGGGTTAATGCTGAGCAGCTTTATGCAAATGGGAACCTGGTAACTGCCTTTGGGGTCAAAGGCCGGTTGCAGCCTATCAGATCTAAAGGAAGGGTATTTAGGCCCAGTTCTCATCCTGCTCAATGCGCTGTCATGGTTTCCCTTGTGGTTGTCCGAGAGCGCGTTATTGCTTCTGGTTTTTCTGGTTATTTGACTTTGGCGTTGTTTTTGACTTCCCTGTGTTCTGGCATCCCTGACTCCTGGCTTTTCCTTATCGTTGTGTCTCTTTCTGTATCCCTTGACCTCGGCTATTCTTGACTATTCTTTGGTACGTTAGTCCGGCCATTCTAAGGTCCGGTAAACGTTACCTATCAGTCCTTTGTGTTACACAATTCTACGTGCTGGATCATTCTGTAATCCTGACAGGGAGATAATTGCGTTAAAGACCGGTAAGCTAATTATCTCCGAGGAACAGAGAGGCAAACACAAAATATAAAAACATAAAAGTACCCCAAAAAATAATAAATCATAAAATAACCCTTCAAACATCCCCAAATAGCCCTGATCTGAGCGCCCATGTTCTCCAAATAGCGCTCAAATCTATGCAGTGTAGGGGAAACGCCACTGTGTTAAAGTTCTGACTGATCGCACACATGGTCCTATGCCCAAAACAGTTCAGGGCGTTTGGTGCTTTGGCCGGTCAACTACTGTGTCCGAAATATAGGGTGTCTCAGGCACCTTCTCTCCAAAAAGCGAAGTCGTTCAAAACCCCAGATCAAGTTGTCCGGGAACCGCACGGTCACCTCATGCCGAAAACAGTTCCTTTTTCCAGTTCCAATTTAGTTCTATAACGATCGTGGCTAAGTACCGCTGAGGACAATTCATTGGTTTCCTCATGCAAATGATCGCCAGGGAGCTAGTGTTCGGTTCCATTCGAATGAAGGGAAAGGGCCAAACAAGGAGCACTGCTAGTGGCTGCTAATAACTCCTGAACAGGACATTTGGATACGGCCCATAGTCCTTGGGCAGGAGGCTAGCTAGCAGGCTCCTCCAGGAGCACGAGGCAATGGCACGTTTGCCACACCTTCTCTGCATTAGCTTGCCTATGGCAGCATATATTGTAAATATAGATCAGCAACATATTATCAGATCACGAAATATTATCAGATCTAAATTATGGCATACCTTTAAAACTATATGGACTCTCTATTGAGAAAATTATAAATGTCTGGGTTGTGTCTATGTTGGTAGGCAAAAAAAATAAATATGTTATTTAAAATTCCATTTATAAGGAGCTATCATGTACTAGAGAGGTTTGCTATAGGGAATGATGGCTGATGGTGGCTGCTTCCTTGCTTCAGACACTGACCGTGTAATGCAAAGCAGCCCAGCACATAGGCAAATTATGACATTAGGCTACAGTCAGTTTGGAATATCCACTTCCCACCCATGTTCTCAGAGTGCTACAGTATGCAAAGGAATGTTACCACAAATACACGGGCTTGGGAGGGTAGGGACTGTTTTCTAGAAATCAGTCATGGCATGCTTACTTATTTGTACACTCCAATAGAAATGTCTGCTATCAGATCATCGTAGTAAACATAATGCATTATACATAATACAGATACAATCTAACATAACAAAAATACAATGCAATTTAAAAAAATATTTTATGGGTTCTTGTTGTCTCAGGCCGCACTGAGAAGACTGGCAACCACTCAGCCCGAAGGCCTTGAAGATTCCGACTTTGAGCAGTTGGTGAAACCGCGGCTTGTGGACTCGTTCCTGCTCTGCTCCAACATGGAAGAAAGCTTTGTATAGCAACTAAAAACATGTTGTCAATGAGATAATGTTGTAACAACATTCATTTATAGGAAATATTTTTAATTTATAGCCATATTTATCAAAAGGAAACACTGGTACACATGAGGAAAATCATTCCTTGTTTATCAAAGAAAAGCAATTGTTTTATTAAGTTCTGACAGTGGTTTTTACAAAAGATTACCTAGATTTTTTTAAAATTATACGGTTTAGTGCAAAGCTAAATAAATTTTATATCTCCGAGTGCCAGCAACATCTCAGAATTTTGTGAAATATATTTTTTAATGGAATTTCTGGTTTTGTGGGTTTTTTTTTTTTTATTATCTCTGACCAAAGTTGTAACTATGCAGCAACATTGCATATTCTATTGTGTGATGTAATCCATTTGTTTAGTCCAATAAAAATTGCATTTAATATTTACTGAAGTGTAATTCCTTATATTTGAATTGTGAGGTATGGCATCAGAATGGGGTGAGGCGGGGTCACAGTGGGGGTGATAGTGTCACCATGAATGTCATGTCAGGTAAGGTGGACAAGTAAAAAAGTGGGTGTCAGACAGAGCACCCATGTAAAAAGCATTTCAGTGTTGTGATAATGTTGTGATCATCACCCTGTACTTTTTGGGAGCATTTCTCTAATGTCTCCAGAATCATGAAATCAGAGGATAAAGCCCTGGACAGCAGAATAGGGGTTCCAGACTAGGATTGAGCAGGACCCTGGGCTTTTGGGATGTATAACAAGCATGACAACTGTCATGAAATTTCCAAATCTCCTTTTTTTAAAGGTTATTACATTGAATGAGACAATTATATATATATATATATATATATATATATATATATATATATATATTTAATGATGTATTTTGATATTTTATAAAAAAATTCACTTTTTATCTCGATGAGTGACCATGTTGGGTCAGACTCTAGTGTTATCTGACCCACTACTGCTCAATCTAAATTGTTGCCTCTGCAGGTTCATGAAGAGCAATCAGAGCAGCAGCAAGTTAGGTTGCACATCAGTTGGTCAGATAACAGTACAGTCTGACCAAACATGATTGCAGAGCAAGATAAAAAGGCCATTTTTTCCAAAAAATATCAATTATATCATTAAACAAAACATTAATAATGAAGACATTAATAAGAACAAAAAAGATGTGAATTTCTCTGCCTGAATAGATTGTTTATCAGAGTCTGTACAGATGTAAAAACAGCAACTAAATAAATACTTTTAAAAACACAATATATAAGGATATACTTTTTAATATGTGGGGCAATAGCTTCTTGATCCAAGGAGGGATCGGACTGCCATTCTGGGATCGAGAATATATATTTTTTTCTGCAATATCAGTATATTACTGGGAGTTCCTTTAATCAGTAATTACTGACTCTTTTATTTAATGCACCCATCCATATTAGATACTGTTTTTAAATCAATATATGAAGTTTTTCGTTCATGTCATGGTTTTAAATGTTTATCAAGTATAAACCAACATAAAAGGAAATTTTGAATTTGTGTCCAAACTAATTGAAAAAAAGTCAGCTACAAATTGTGCTTTAAAATTCACATTTTTATCAATAAACCTATTTAATAAATTATAAAACTAAATTTTATAAAATAAAAAAATTGTAGTGACTGTAGAATATACCGCAATATTTTGTACATTATGATTCCGGAAAACCTTCTGATATCAAGGATTTTAATTTATCTTTATCCATTGAAAATTAAATGTAAGGAACTATTTTTTTTAAAATAAATAATTTTTCAAAGTGAAATATAATGATCAAATTGAAGAAAGGAAGTATTTATGACATTCAGGGGTTTGTGGCCGAGTCTCTGTGTGACTCATCATTTGTGAGTGACAGTCAGACTTGGAGCGATTACTCTGGGAGAAGAATGATAGTTTATATGTTTAATCTTACCTCTGAGTTGAGTTTTTTTGTTTTTTTTAAATACTTACAGCAAAGCACCTTCTTTATTTACAATCTCAATGTGAAAATCAGACTTGGATCATGTTTCTATCAGTCATCAAATGGTTATTATATTTAATGGGGGTTGGGGAATTGGGTCAGTATTTCTACTTACCCCTAGCCTCTCTCATGCTCAGGATTGCTGAGATTTTAAGAGCTGCTCCACACTGGAAGTACTAAGGGCTGGCATTTCTATGTTTGCAGAAAAATCCTAGTATTTACAGCTTCTGCAGTAAATTCTGCCTACTTCAATCGCAGATAAGTCTCCCTTTATTTTAAAGGTGCGTGGCAGAAGATTCCTTAAGGGTTCTGGGATAGGTAGCTTCCTCCTCAGCAGTAGTTCAATTTATGAGAAAGCACGAATGAAACAGCTTCCAAGCTGATCTCAGGATGGTTGCAATCATCTAACTTAATTCGTAATTGGCAGCTTTCAGTGGAAAACTAAAATTGCTAGTATATTTCCCAAAACCCTTTGGCCCACTGAAAGTATCAGGATTGACTGAAAGACTCCAGCCATTTCATGATTTCTGAGGAATCAGGGACACAGTTAGTATTCAGTATTCTTTTTATATGTTCTTATAGTCACTTGTTATGGTCTTTGTAAGTCATTAAATAGCGGCTCACATCCAGCTTGGAGTACCTTTAAGGAATTGTATAAGGCTGGGCCACACAGTAACATATAATATACTTTATATAATATATTTTGTCACTAGCATCTTCCCGGTGAGTCATGCCATTTTCATTTGTAAGCTGATTAAATGATACAGAGAGCTTGTGACTCACTGATCCGTCATTCAGAAAGTTTATATCAGCCGATAGAAAGAAAGAGGGTGATCACTAAATTATGTCAAGGCAATTATTTACAGCACAAAATGGATTTGCAGAGCTCTTTGCAAAGTATAAACGTAAGCGTTTTGGCAAAAATATTTCATCATGCATCATGTCTAACTGATAAACTCTCACAGTTTATCTATTATGCGTGTTTTCCTAAATTAAAATATTTAGATCTTTTATCAACTTAGTTTCCCGGTTTCCCAAGCTTACACTCACTGACTATTTCATTAATTATGAATCCTTAAATACAGGAAGTAGATTCGAAGCTTTAATTATTTTAAGACAAAAAGAAAAAATTAAGAAAAATGCTAACACACTCTGTTTGAAATAGGAAGGTGTTTAATTGAAAGTGCGGTAGTTACGCTGTAGAATGCGCTGACGTATCATGATAGGACAAACACAGTTCGAGGACTGAGAATTAATTATTTAAATGTATTTTAAATGTATAACTTTCATCACCTTAACTGGATGATTATAATTTGTTCTAATTAATTCATCAAGTAATAGTCATAACAAATGCTCATAACAAAGATGTATCATCGGCAAAACAAACTTTCAATATATTGCTTTAAATATAAGACGTCTGCTCTTCCTTTGTGAGTATATTTTTAATTACCTATCCCGGATACTTTTAATACAGAGAGCACCATTAGTTGTCTCTTTTCTCTTTTATCTGAATATTGGATACACCACTGACGGAGGGAACCCACCATATATCCCATAAGTGGGGATTATACCGCTGTATGCGCTTCACACCAGAGCTGGATATAGCTCGGTCAAATGTGAGTTCCCTACTATTATTTGAATTCAGTGATTTTATTTGACCTATACATATTGCACTATTGGGTGTCCCGTCTTCTTTTTCTTACATATAAGTGGATCACTACACCATTGAAAGACTTTGCCCCTGCACAGTACCCCAAGACAGCATTGAAGACATCAAGATTGGATTTCTCTGCATATTACTTCTACAATTGTATCTGGACATTGTTTTATCTAAATATTAATATTTATTGAGGCGCAGCCCTTGTTCGTATTATTTGTGACTAGGTGGCTACTACAAAAGACTGGGAATACCCCATTTTGAATACCCTGGTTTGTCTACATTTGAAAATGGTATGCCATGATGAGGTTAATTCACATTCCTGGTCAACCATATGGTCTCAAAAGGCAACATAGACCCATCAAACCAATCTGGCAAACTGAATTGGACATGACCTATATTGACCCTGTAACTTCCCAAAACACCATAAAATCTGTACATGGGGGGTATTGTTATACTCAGGAGACTTCACTGAACACAAATGCGAGTGTTTTAAACAGTAAAACCTATCACGACAATGAAATCAGCAGTAAAAGTGCAGTTTTTGTGTAACAAATTCCAACAACAAATATGAACGCTAATTTTGGCAAGCGTTTGTGCCTAAATGGCTACTACAAAAGACTGGACATACCCCATTTTGCATACTCCGGGTTGTCTACTTTTTCAAATGGTATGTCATGGTGGGGTTAATTTTCATTTCTAGGCTGCCATACATATCTCAAAGGCAGCATAGCCAATCTGGCAAATAGCAATTTACAAAAACAGAAATTGGCAAATCTTATGCTTGACCCTGTAACTTTTCAAATCACCATAAAACCTGTACTTTAGGGGTACTGTTGTACTCGTGAGACATTACTCTTCACCAGCGTTTCCCAATTGGTGTTGCCTGGGTTTCCACGGAACACCAATTGGGGTTCCGCGGAACACCAATTGGGGTTTCGTCAAAAGTTTAAAAAATAAAATGGCCGCAGGCGGCGAGGGAGCAGTGATCTCCCTGCTCAGCTCCCTTGCATGCACAGTGGTGATGCTGGAGCCGGAATATAATGTCACACGTGAGGGAGCTAAGCAGGGAGATCACTGCATCCTCGCCACCCACTTGCCAGCCGCTCAGCAGCCCCACTGGACCCCAGGGACTCCCTGCCAGCACTCCTAAAGGTAGGAGGGCTGGGTGGAGTAAAATGTAAAAAACAAAAAGGTAAAAAAATAAATAAATTGTATATGTGTCTGTTAGGGAGTTTGTATGTGCTTGTGTGTATGTCAAATAGTATATGTGTGTTGGTCAGTGAGAGTGTATCTGTTCTTGTCAGTGGGAGTGTATATATGTTTGTATGTGTGTCTGTAAAAGAGTATGTGTGTTTGTCAGTGAGAGTGTATCTGTCAAAGAGTATGTGTGTCTGAGTGTGTCAGTGTGTGTATCTGTGTGTCAAGGTTTGTGTATGTGTCACTGTGTGTATCTAAGTGTGGGTGTGTGTGTGTATGTGCCAATGTGTATCAGTATGTTTGTATGTGCATGTGTGTGTATGACAGTTTTGTGTATCTGAGTGTGTCAGTGTGTCAGTGTGTGTATGTGCCACTGTGTATATGTGGGTGCAAGTGTGTGTATACTTTGTGTATCTGAGTGTGTGTGTATTTGTGAGTCAAGATGTGTGTTTCAGTGTGTATCTGAGTGTGTGCATCTGTTTGTATCTGTTTGTCAAGGTGTGTGTCAGTGTGTATATGTGTGCCACTATGTGCCAGTGTGTGTGTGTATCTGTGTGTCAGATACATACACACACACACACACACAGATACACACTGACACAGAGATACACACACTGGTGCATAGAAAAACACAGAAATACACACCTTGACACACACCGGCACATACAAACTTGAAACATAGATATACACACCTTGACACACAGATACATACACACACACACACACACGGATACACACTGCGTGTCAAGGTGTGTGTATCTGCGTCAGTGTGTGTATCTGTGTGCCACTATCTGCCAGTGTGTGTGTGTATCTGTGTTTCAGATTCATACACACTGGCACATACAAACACAGATACACACATCTTGACACACAGACACATACAAACACAGATACACACACCTTGACACACAGATAGATACATACATACACACACACACACAGACTGTGTGTCAAGGTGTGTGTATCTGTGTGTCAGTGTGTGTATCTGTGTGCCACTATGTGCCAGTGTGTGTGTGTATCTGTGTGTCAGATATACACACACACAAACAGATACACACTCTGGCACATACAAGCACAGATATACACACCTTGACACACACCGGCACATACAAAAAAAAAGACACCATTTTTTATTTATTTTCTGGGTTGGGGGGATTCCACGATGTTGATACACTATGTTAAAGGGTTTAGAGCAGTAAAATGTATTATACTGATAATATGATTGTGAAATGGCAGTTTATGTGTGAAAAATGCAAAATAAAAACTAATATAAATGCTAATTTTGGCCATGGTTTGTGACTAAGTGGCTACTAAAAAAGACTGGACATTTTGAATACCATGGGTTGTCTACTTTTATAAATGTTATGCCACGATGGGGTTAATTTTCATTCCTGGGCTGCCATACGGTCTGAAAGGCAACATAGGCCCAGCAAACCAATCTGGCAAATTTCAATGTGCAAACATGGAAAAGGGGAAAGCCCTACATTTAACTCCTGTAAGTTTGCAAAAGCCCATAAAACCTGTACATTGGGGTTTGTACTCAGGTGATGTTCCTGAACACATATGGGGGTGTTCTTTGTCAGTAACACATAAGAGGAACTGAGAATCCATGCCTAAAGTACATTGTGAGAGAAAAATAACACAAAAAAATAAACTACCCAAACGTTTGACAAAGACTGGTGGTAGAATTAGTGCAGGGAAAGTGTTAAAATACCACCATTTGAAATACCCTAGGGTGCCTACTTTTTAAAAAATATATGGTTTGATGGGGTAAATTACATTGGCCCGGCTTCAAAAATGTCCCAAATAGGACATGGGTGCAAGCTGGAAAACTGGAAAGTGCACCCTTCAAATAAGTTATTTTAGCCCTCAGAGAACCTGACACACCTATACATGGGTGGTATCACTGTAGTTAGGAGATGTTGCCGAACACATATTGGGGTGTTCTTTGGCAGTAACCCTTAAAGTTCTCAATACATGTATTCTTAAATTGCTATGTGTGTCAAAAAATCATTATTATTATTATTATTATTATTATTTTTACATTTGGTATAGATTGGTGGTAAAATGGTTGCATGAAAAGAGTCAAAATACTCTTTATTTAAGGTTGGCTTCTTTTAAAAAATATAAACATGTGAATGGTTATTCAGCGATTTCTGACAGATATCTCTTTAGAAAAAAATGGTTTGGAAATAGCAAAGTGCTACTTGTACTTATTGCCCTATAACTTGCAAGCTAAGAATATGTTAACATTGGATATTTCTAAACTTAGGACAAAATGTAGAAACTATTTAGCACGTGTGTTTTTTGGCAGTTGTAGATGCGTAACAGATTTTGGGGGTCAAAGTTAGAAAAAGTGTGTTTTTAAAAAAAAAAAAAATTCATGATATTTTATAAATTGTTTTATAGTAAATTATATGATATGATGAAAATAATGGTATCTTTATAAAGACCATTCAATGGCGAGAACAATGGTATATAATATGTGTCAGTATGGTAAATGAGTAAGAGGAAAATTACAGCTAAACACAAACACCGCAGAAATGTAAAAACAAACTTGGTCTGTGCGTTGTACCATAAGCCCTGCATAATAATATATAATAATATAATAAAAAGGGGCTATATTGCTCTTCACCACGTGCTTTGGTTTTACTGTGCTTCAGTTGGAAGATATAACATATAAAATCTTACAAACCCCGGCTCCGCAGGATCGGTGGCTTAGCTACATTACAACATAGACCAGGTAAAATATCAGATGTTTTGTGCTCTTTGTGTCCCATTTCGGAAATCTATACCATGATAAAGCTTTCCGGGAAAAGGGAGTAGCCAGGATATAAACAGTTAAAATCAGTGATAGAATAATGAAGATTTTTAGATTGTAAGCTTATTTGAACGGAACCCTCTTTATCTACTGTTCTCGTATGTCAAACGTGTCCAAGTTAATTGTCTACGTTTATCTATTGTACAGCGTCGTGGAATATGTTAGTGCTATATAAATATCTTGAATTGTTATTGTAAGTAGTGTTCTCATTCCCCCTTACTACAAGTGCCATAAATTATATCTGGGTGTTCCCAGGCCCCCCTGTATAAGCAAGGCAGAGACTAATAAATGCCCCCTCCCCTACTGTTTCCACACTTGCATGTGTTGTGGTTTAATAATACTAAGTTGCAGGGCAGATAGTACAGGAGGTAATACTGTACCCTGAAATCTATTAAAGAGAACCTGCTGAAAAGTCCCCTTTACAGGCGAAGTCTAGGCATCATTATAACTATTTGCTGATGAAGTGATTATGGTGCCATTCAAAATGGTGATCCTCGAGGCACAGGCAGTCCAGCCCCCACTCACCAGAATTGCAAGTATTTCGCATTAGCAATACTAATCTCATCCATATTTTAAAAACATTCATTGGATAAGTGGGTCAGCTTGCCTCACCATGTAGTGGTTATGGTGCCTAGATTGATCCTTTAATCCCAAATCTACATTCAGAGGGAAGATGGTTGAAAATGGTGAAATATTGAATCCTGCTTCATCTCATGCACAGTGACACAAGGACACGTAAATCATGGAATGTCTGTGTCTCCACGTTTAATAATCAGTTATTCACACACCTTGGAGTCTAAACATGAGGTGTGATGAGGTGGCGACATAGTTTAGTAGGTGTATTGGAGACTGCTATTTATTTTTATTAAATGACTTGTTTTTATAATTTTCCCACTGGCAGTCAGTGCTGGTATTGTTTTCATTTTTCTGATTAGCCTCCTGGACAAATAAGAAAATATATATCATTAACAAAACAGGATCTGTGTGTCCAGCAAGATTTGGATTAAGTGACAGAATGATTTGTAACAAAAGTATTTTTCAATCGTCTTCAGCAGTTAAGTCACAGCGCTGTAATGATGTATAGCATTGAACACTCAGTGGCTTCGGTGCAAAGTAACAAACCTGGGTCCGCCATAAATGTCTGGAATTTGAAAGCATACCAAATGAATTATTTATTATAAAGATGACCTTCATTTAAAATTCTACTGAATCATACATTCCCTCCAACGTGTGACTAAAGAAAAGGAAAGGAGGGTTTTCTGATTCACGGACAATGGGTAAAAAAACAAACAGCTATGTTACATGGTATGTGGTAGAATCATTTAATATTAACAAATACAAAACATTCACTTTTGCATAAAATTGACAAACAATGGTCACAATATGTGAACTTAACAAATATAGCTATAATTACTGTCAGGAACATGCTAGAAGACTGCTTTCCCTCAATATTTAATATTTTTTAACACATTTATTAGCATTTTATAACTTGAAGAGTATAAGAGAATATAAGATATTTTAGACCGAATCTTTAATACCGAATGAATTCCAACTTAGTTCGGAGATTTTTAAATTTCTGGGTAGCTTGATGAAAATTTAATAAAATTCCAGTCCTGAATTCTAAATTTTCTAAAAGGGAAAAAAGTTCATTCAAATTATGTTCTGGAGAAACACAAATGTATCCATTACTCTTGTTTTTCAAAGTAGCCGGTGGAAACGTTGACTTTTAGCAGAAATGTTCGGAGAGACCTGACCTCTCTCTGTAGATCTGAACAAGAAATGTTTGTGGTTCTCTGGAAAACTTTGATTTTTTCTGTGGTTCTTTTCTGTTCTCCGCGATTGACAACCCTAGCCCATTGAAGCGCCATTGTGTCCTCCACTTTTCTAATAGATAGCTTCCTTTCCTTTGGATAATTCATGTTGATGGACCTTGAAGATGGTATTAAAGATGTTGCTCTGGCATAGAACCTTCAATTCCAGTTTTAGGGAATGCTCTGCTTTATTTATATTATCCTGTAGCATCTGACTAGAAGCTTTCCGTTAATAATTTACTACTTCGTTCAGAGTCAGTTGATCACATTGACCCCCTGAGGAGCAATCCTTTGACGCGTACGCTTCACAGAGAACAGGGCGATTAATTTTATTCTTTACTATACCTCATTAAATTAAATAAAGCATTCTCTCTGTTTCAGACAGAGTCACACAATTCTCAAAGAAGCCGAAATAAATTACTGTCACTACAAGTGGGTAGCATTAAACTTAGAATGTGTGTTCTATTAATAGTCAATACAGAAATAAGTTGCTTAATCAACTTCCAATTTATTATCTGTACTAAGCAAGAAAACATTTTATGTAAATACGCTACAATTATAGTTGATTAATACTAATTGTGTTCTAGCTCACCTGACTAACGCAATCGTTTCACAATGAAAGTGCCGACAAGTTACTAAGATCTGCATAAAATTATTTCTGTTCTAAAAAAAAACAGAAAAAAAATAAAAGTGTTGTAAACGGAATCCATCTTCTTACATTAATGGATTTTGTAAAATCTCCATATTTAAGATATTCAAAAAAATCTGCTGCGTTTTTTGATTTATGTGCTGTTTGTCTGTTTGGCGTCTAGCAGATACTGTTGCAGTACATTTGCAGTGATGTTGGCAGTGAAATTGGCAGTGATGTTGGTAGCGGTATTTAATAAATATTGGCAGTTGTTATTTTTTTTATTTTTTTTAAAAGCCCATGTTTTGGCCCATTAGTGGGCTTTGTTTGGTTTTATATTTTTTCTTCTAATAAAATTAGTGTTTTTTTTTACCCTACTCTGGACCTGCCTAATTATATCTTAGAGCATTTTATTCAGAGACCCTCACTTTGGATTCCTTGGTGGGGAACATACCTCCCAAGCTATATGGACTAAGCAAAGCCTATTTTTGCTCTTTTCCTGTGAGTACCTCTCCTTTTATTACTTTTATTACATTTTAACAGAGAGCACTATAGTTTGTTTCATTTTCTTTATATAGAACTCTCAATGCCTGTTACTGCTTTCCTGAGCAGAGACTCCCCAACACTCTTATAGGGGCTCTACCCACATATACCTTCTATTAGATATCGGCCCAAGAAATCCCACACTATAAGATCAAGACAACAAACATATCTACAGCCGGGGATTGTACCGTCCAAGTGCACTCATTTGGAGCTGAGTATAGGTCCAAAAAACTGTAAGCGTATCTCTCTTACTTACCTCGATAATAGTAACACACTACACTATATTCAGGGAACTGTCCTCTTATTTTTCATATTATCTCACGGGATCAGAATTTGAGAACATACATAAGGTGCTGCTTTCCTCCACCATTTTGTACAGTTTCCATTCACAGCCAGAAAGAAAAAATTCTGGTTCAGGTTGTTACAGCTGCTAACTATCGCTAGAATTCTTATACACTACCCTACCATTTCAATTACCATGATGTACCGTGCGATCTGTTAATGTGACTTTAGTTCAGGTTTGGTAATAAAAACACAGTGATCAGAATCCGACAAGTGCTTCTATTTTATTTTTTAACATTTTCTCTACTTGCACACACAGAAGCACATGATGTACATCAGACAGTTTCAGCCAGGCAGTTTTTTGTAAACTCATTTGCCTGTACAGAGATAATGAGCTTTAAGAAATCTTTACATCCAGAGAATAAAATCATGCAGATGTTCTGTGTAAGTCGAGCGTTCCCTTTGGAATTGACACCTGCTGTGTTTGAAGCTGCAAACACATCTCAGAGATTTTACCTACGGGAGAAATCTGATTTTAGTTAGCAGATAGGACCTGTTGCTGCTTATTACATACCTGGCTCAGCGCGATAAGTATTCATAAATGCAAAATATACACTGAATTAACTAACGAATGCAACATAATGTCTACAATGCTATTTCAAGTGTGTTATTATGTCGGTGCTAGATAAAAACATTTGAGAAGAGAACATTTTCTGGCAAAAATCAGAGTATATTTAAATTAATGATTTTACATGCAAGTAATATTTTGCACTCTTAGAGAAGTATCATATCCAATCCTGCAACATCCTCCTATCTTAATTACTTTTCATTCTCTGAAATTACTAATTGCTTTTTGAACAAACTGTAATATATTTAATATGGGCAGTATAACAGCACAGGCATCGAGATTTCAAGAAATGTTTTCTGATCACTGCTCAAATCTTCCACACTGATTCCTAATCTCGCTCCAGGCCCTACACAGCCAAATTCTTTTCATTTAAAAAAATATTAGTAAAAGATTTACTTGAAACTAGTGATGTCCCGAACTGTTCGCCGAACGGTTCGCGAATGGTTCGCCTTGGTTCGCCACGAACGGTTCGCCACGGACTCCGGTCAGCAGACACATTCCAGCCAATCAGCAGCAGACCCTCCCTCCCAGACCCTCCCACCTCCTGGACAGCATCCATTTTGAAGCTGCATTCTTAGTGAGCTGTCCAGGAGGTGGGAGGGTCTGGGAGGGAGGGTCTGCTGCTGCTTGGCTTAAATGTGTCTGCTGACTGGAGTCCATGGCGAACCGTTCGTGGCGAACCGCGGCGAACCGTTCGGCAAACAGTTCGGGACATCACTACTTGAAACCCGTTTGAATACTGAACGCATAAACATTTTTGTCAATAGATTTCGATCTGCTGTAAAAAAATATTATTTATGGCAATTTATGCAACTTTCGTGTTTACAGTATTTGTTCATTCCTTGCAGAAATATTGAGGGGGTGCAATTTAGGGATTATATGACGGTTCAAATCTTGAAATATTTCAGTTAAGGTCTGAAACATTAGCATATACTCAGAAATAAATAATTACTTAAAGCAGCGGCTGAAGCAATATCATTCAATAACAATGACTCCAAACAATGGAATTTGCAGGAAGGGAATATAATGGAGCCCAGCTTGAGATATTGGTTTCTCTGGAAGGTGAAGATCCAATCTGGAGCAAAGTGGTTGAGCTTTATGGTATACATATTATTTTACATTGCTTTGTCTGTTTATACATGTATAAACATTGCACAACTCCACAGTGAAGATGCTATTAGTGCTATTTATGCACTAAACACCAAACTGTAGGGGGCTGAAAACCACATTTCAAAGTAAAAATGTAAGATTTTGTAGAAAAGGTAAAAACCAGATATATCGCAGTGTATATATATTATGCGGGATTGATAATATTAGGATGTGGGATTGATAATATATATATGGCGTGGGACTGATAATATAAAGAATGTGGGATTGCTAATACATAGAATGTGATTTGATTATATATAGGATGTGGAATTGATAATACATAGAATGTGATTTAATAATATATAGAATGTGGATTGATAATATATAGGATGTGGAATTGATCATACATAGAATGTGATTTAATAATATATAGGATGTGGATTGATAATATATAGGATGTGGAACTAATAATACATAGGATGTGGACTGATAATATATAGGATGTGATTTGATAATATATAAGATGTGGTATTGATAATATATAAGATGTGGTATTGATAATATATATAATGTAAATTGATAATATATAGGATGTGATTTGATAATATATAGGATGTGGGATTGATAATATATAGGATGTAGAACTAATAATACATATGATGTGATTTGATAATATATAAGATGTGGGATTGATAATATATAGGATGTGGGATTGATAATATATAAAATGTGGGATTGATAATATATATAATGTAGATTGATAATATATAGGATGTGGAACTGATAGTATATAAAATGTGGGATTGCTGTAGGTAAATATGGGTATTTTACTCACATGAGACTTGTACAAAGAATTAAAACTCAGCCAGATGAGAGTGTGTCAGCAGCTTCACTTAAAATGACTCAGAACATTCACTGATCTTCAATATTCTTTCCCCATTTTTATCAACTTCGATGAATTCCTGCTGCTGAAGGATTATGCTGATTTTAAATACATTTGTTTGAACAAGGTCTTTTAAGCGTGTTAAAAAATAAAATAAAAAATAATGGACCCATTGTGACCAGTTTAGAATTGACTGAATAAGCCATGTAAGGTATCATTTGACCTGATTTGTAAAAGCCTATAAAAGCATATGAAACAGCTACTGGACAAAGTGTACTCTTTCGCCATCTGCTGTTCAACAATGATACTACAATTTTTTATTTACACCAACTTTTCACAAAAGAAGCATATTCCGTATTCTAGACCTATACCACATGTTATACAAGATAGGTTATCGTCCTCCATTTCACTGAGGCAGGCTCCATTCATCATTTCCAAATTCATGAGTTGGATACCATCCATTGTCCTAAAAGTCCTTGAGGTAAGCTATATGCATCATCCTCCCATTCCCTGTGGTAGGCTCCATCCATTGACCTGAAATTCACTGAGGTAGGCTCCCTCCACCTTCCTCCAATTGCCTGAGGTAGGTTCCATTCATCATTCTACCACTTCCCTGAGGGAGATTCCTGCTATCTTTTACCTCTTCGAGGTAGGGTCCTGCCATCTTCCACCTCGCTCTAGATGACTTACATGCTGTCATTGGGTAAGTGAAAGGGACACATTAAGCACAATGCTTGTTGCATGAGTTCATGAGTTTAGGAGCAACTGGTTGTCTGTCATGGACTCCCAGGTAAACCCACCAGATTTTCTATTTTTTATAATTGAAATTCCTCTTAATCTCATTAGGTTTCAGGAATTTTGTCTTTTAAAGGGATTTTATAGTGTAAGGAATATAACCATTGTAACAGAGCTTCCTGTACCCCGGTTGGGAACCTCTGCTGATGAGTGCTCCTAGTGCTCACCAAGGACTCCAAGCACTCCACCAGACACCATCAGCACCGCAGTCCCCACGTCCAGCGTTACAACTTGGTTGGGAACTTGCCGTCTCCTACCCACCCTGGCCCTATGACAAGGCTCCAGTGGGTGAATCTCTTTTCCTCCAGAGAGTCAAGCAGGAACAGCTCTTAAAAGAGCTAAGTGATTATAATCCCAGGGCAGTATAGTGATATAGCAATCCTCTGGGTAGCTGCAGCCTTTCCCCCACACATGAGACAGATACTCTATGTTGAGGGTAAAACAGGAACTACAGTTTAATGGGACACACTGGCCTTTTATACAATTTTCCCAACAAGGTTGAAGCCCAGGTGGACCTTGTTGGGCACCAAATACAAAACATGCAAGCCAATAAAAACAGAGGTTTACATTCAAACACTCCCATACAGTGTACACAATCCCTCCCCTCTGCCTGTGATATAATTAATGAAGACAATGGACTAACTTAATTAACTCTAAGCAGAAAAAACATAAATTTTTACAAAGTCTGGAAAACACCCCACATATCCCCACAAATGTCAGATCCCTGGATAGCCCTAATATGGGTGAACAACATATCCAAAAATCACCCAGATCAGAGCAGGGGTTCAGTAATTTTGTGAAAGTCCCATTTTGACCGACCGTGCACATGGTCCTATGCCAAAAACAGTTCCAGGGAATTGGGGCCAACGCACTGGCGGATCCAGGGGGGGGGGCAACGGGGCAATTGCCCCCCCCGAGAAATCCGCCGGTCTCCCTCCCCTGTCAGCACATGCAGGTGCTAGCCCTGCAATGTGCCTGCGGACCGGAGGGGAGATCAGAGATCTCCCTCCCCGGTCCGCAGGCACTGTGCTGACAGCCGGCAGGGGAGGGAGAGGGAGGACCCGGAGCTCAGTCTGCAGCTCCTCCGGGTCCTCCTCTCGCGAGATTTGGAGCGTTGCCGCGGTTACCATGGCAACGCTCCAAATCTCGCGAGAGTGAACTCTAGCCCGGGAGCGTGGGCTAGCGTTCACTCTCACCACTGGGACCACCAGGGAATCACCACTGGGACCACCAGGGATGAAAATATGTCCCCCCTCCTCCTCAATAAAGGTAAGAAGGGAGGGGGGACATAGAATATTTGTTTTTTTTAATTAACTAAAGATATAAATTATAAAAAAAGCCCCCCCACCCTTAACACACACACACACACACACATAGCCCCCATACTGCCCCCCCATACACATACTGCCCCCCCATACACACATACTGCCCCACATGCTGCCCCCCATACACACATATTGACCCCATGCTATTCACACATACTGCCCCCATACACATACGCTTACACATACTTACACACATACTGCCCCCCATGCTGCCCCCCAAACACACATACTGCCCCATACACACATACTGACCCCATGCTGCACACATTACCATACACACACACTACACACACATACTGCCCCATACACACATACTGCCCCCCATGCACCCCCCATTCACACATACTGCCCCCATACACATACATACTGCCCCCATACACATACTGCCCCCATACACACATACTGCCCCATACACACATACTGCCCCCCATGCACACATACTGCCCTCATACACACATACTGCCCTCATACACACATACTGCCCCCCATACACACACACTGCCCCCATACACTGCCGCCCCATACACACACATTGCCCACATTCACACACACACTGCAACTGTTACACACACATACTGTCCCACACATACACTGCATCCCTGACATACACTGCCCCCCTACTCACACACTACAACCTTCACACACACACACACACACTGCTCACACACTGTCCCCCTCACACACACACACACTGCACCCCTTACACATTGCACCACTCACACACACCACTGCTCCTATGCCCTACTACCGCCCCATTTCCCAGCAGACCTCAGGTAAGTTGTCAAACTGTTCTTAAACGGTTTGACTACTTACTCTAGGAGGGGGTCCCGGCACTATTGACACCATAACCACTACACTGAGCTGTAGTAGTTATTGTGTCTGGATTATTTCTTTAAATAATCTACAAGTGCCCCTCCCGAGATCAGGCTCTGGATCCGCCACTGGGCCAACGGTCGGTCTCTCTTTATGGAGTACAAAAGTACTTATATTACCTGAATGGAGCCTTTTAAAGTGTATTGGGCAAGTTATATTGCAGGGCCCAGAGTCACAGGGTAGAAGGCAAGCAAACAGGCCCCTCAAAAAAACAGTGGCAAGGTCTTTCGCCACAATCATGTATTCCTTAAAACTATAGTTCCCTTTGTCCTCCTCTCCCTTGTGCTCCCAAAATCCATGACTTTCAAACAGCTTACAAACCCTTTGTGTACTCACCCAATTCTACAGCTGATCTCCCTCGTATTAGGCCCTCCCCATAAGAGAGCATTGCCTAAATGCTTTACTTTGGTGATTTCACCGATGCTTAATGTCCTCATGCAGAGCGTGAGGACGTCAAGCGTCAGTTAGGCAACCAAAAGTCGCCTTGCCACCAGGAAGTGCCTTTAGTGGCTGTCTGATTGTTTTTTTAAAAAAACTGCAATGATCTACATGGGGGATAGGGGCACTGCACCCAGGCCACTTCAATGAGCTGAAGTGGTCTGGGAGCCTATAGTGTCCCTTTAATTTTAGACATCACATTTTAGTGTTTATTGGTCGCTTCATTTAAGTCAATACTGTA